CTACCCAGGCTGCTATAGTATAATAATACAATAATAGTATATAATAGTAACGTTACTAGGGCAGATGTTCACAGAGGCTTCTGCACACAAAACATAAGATACTAACTGGTATGCCTATGTGATAACTTACCAGAGTTGTGATAATCATTTTTATGTGAAAATATTTTTTTTAATAAATACTGTAATAATAATAATAGTTTAAAGTAAAAATAATAGTTTTTAGTCAAATAACACCCCTCCACGCCGTGAAACTTTTCTCCCTCAAACAGCAAGCTACTTCTACAGCCTACACACAGCAATACAAACAACATCTCTCTGCATGCTCTCTTCACGTCGTTCTAGTAAAATAATAATAATAAGTAAACAAACATCAAAATCACTTCGCTGAGAATAGAACACCACTTACCAGCAGCCGCAAGAGTTGAAGATATCCTCTGGGAATGCGCGATTGCGCGTAGCCGCGCGAAATTATAAAATGCGCGTGCAGCGTGAGGAATCAGGTGAAAGGTCATCATGTGGGTCATTTTATTTACGGCTAAATTATTATTCATTCATTTTACTACTAGTTAGATGGGGCAGGCATCCACAAAAGTGCCTTTAAATACAAAAAAGGAGAGGAAATTTTGTCTTGACAAAAGGGCACTTTGGGCACCAAGGGGCAAAAGGGCAGGTGCTCGAGCACCCAACGCCCCCCCCTCTGCACGTGCCTGCTGCGCACTTCCGTTTTCGGGACTAGACATGCGCAGTCGTGAGCAGGAAGTAAAGCCGCGAAATCAAGGCCGCGCCCTCATTCCCGCTGAATCAATAGCAAGCACACGCCCCTGCACTTTTATTAAGTGTCCTCTGTCTGCTCGGTTCCTCTCCATTGATGTCTGCTGATTGCAGTACCTCCTTAAAATAATGTTTCTTCAGTGACTACTTCACACTGAGAACCTGTCAATCACTGCTGTCAATCATGTCGTCACAGCTCCGTTTTTATAGCATCAAATAACTAACTAAAAGCTAACTTATTTTAAAAACAAACACTTGAAATTACATCAAGGTGATAGAAATTACAGTAAATGACAGAAACTATCTTTGGGAAAATATATTACTCTGAATATAAAAGTATAACAGTCTCAATTTTTTTTTTTTTTTTTTTGGGGGGGGGGGGGGGGGGGTCTTCTGTTTCTGTTTTAATTTACTCTAGTGCCACATCTGCAGCTGAGAGTTCAGCATGAAATGAAAATGATGTCATCATTTATTAGCCCTCAAGTTGTCCAAACCTGTATGAATGTCTTTCTTTGGTAAAGGATGTTGGTAACCATGTGTGATGGTTGACTTTCATATTTTTTTTTCCTACTATGGAAATCAATGGCCGCCGTCAACTTTCTGGTTACCAACATTCTTTAAAATATCTTATTTTGTGTTCAAAGGAAGAAAGAAACTCATACAAAGTTGGAACAACTTGAGGGTGAGATAATAGGGGATTATCACGCTTCCGGGTTTCATGGGTGGGATTTGTCAACTTTGTGCATGTCCACTTCAGACGCAGTTCAACAATGCCTGAAATGAAGGCTATATATGTCACTGCTCTGTTCCACTTTGTAAATCTAACCAACAACGCCAACCCTAATTAAGTTTTCACTGTGCAGGGGTACTATTGCGCAATACCAGCAAGAACACATCGTCTCAAACTGTCAGCAGCGTTCTGTGTGCTCGTCACCTAGCAAGTTCGTTCTTCCAAGAACAACTAGCAAGAGCTTTCTTCCCAAGAACACAAGTCCGTTCTTTGCATTCTTGGTTTTGAGAAACGGCCAAAATCGGACACCCCGCCATTGCTTTCTTCTTCTTCTTCCTGTTTACTGGCGATTAACTCCTAAGGAGCATTATCGCCACCTACTGTGCTGATGGATGGCAAATTAACCTTGGGTGATGAGTCTGGATTCAAAAAAAAAAAAAAAAAAAACGTTCTACCTATATCATCCCACATTATCATACCTGCAATAGAGGTTTCGTTGGGCTTCATCCGGCGCTGCGTGTTCAGCTCCTCCGTCCACACCGCCATTGCTTTCTTTTGATGTTGAAGCATTCATAGATTTTAGAAAAATAAATTAAATAAATAGAATTTAACAATACTAACAATTTTGTGCTCAGCAACTTAAAAAAAAGTGAATCATATTGTGTTTAGTATATTAACATTCTTCAATGTGACTGTGTGTATGACAACTGAATTGACTTGTTCTAGAGTAATTTCATGCTGTCTCTTTCAGATTTCAGAGAACCTAAAGGAAAAGAGGCAGAAGTGTAGTCTGGCAAGACAGATTTTTAAAAACCTGAACCGTTGGATCACCTGGACCAAGGCTGAAGTGCTTTTGTCCTGTTTCTGCTCCTTTCTTTTTTAAAGAATAATCTTTTAATGTATTTGTGTCATTGATTGAATAAAATAAATTGACTCAACTGCTGAAAAGGTGTCATTTATATTTTAAAAGGTTTTCGCCAAATTTTGAAATGGTCAGGAATTTGTTGACACACAATTGAAGTGTTTTAGAAATGTTAATGTTTCAACATTAACTTGGTACATCAGATGGCAACATTGACATTCCTTTTATTTTTTTGAATTTTCAGTGTTTCAACTAAATGTATTTAGAATCAACATCACATTGTAACATTGGTTAATTTAAGAGCTGATTCAACAGCAGTGATGTAGATTCAACATCATAGTGTAACGTTGATTCAACAATATTACCATTTATTATTTTTGGTCATTTCAATATTGATTCATCATCAGTAATGTAGAATCAATCATAGTGTAAAGTTGATTTAATAGCATTACCATTGATATTCTTTTTTTTCAACATAGTTTCAACATTAACTGAGGGTGCAAAAGTGCACGTTGAAAAATATCACTTTGTAATGTTGAATCAATACTATTACTGTTGATTTTTGGTTGAAATCTCAACATTGCTTCACCATTAACCGAGGGTGCAAAAGTGACGTTGGAACAATATCACTTTGTAATGTTGAAGCAATATTAACACCATTGATTTGTGTTGAACATTATTAACTGAGGGTGCAAGAGTGATGCTAAATCAACATCACTTACCGTCATTTCAATGTAATCAGCGTTGACATCAACACTGACTCAACATTGTTTTAATGGTTACATGCTATCTGGGTTAGTTGGTCTCACGCCCCATTCAATAACATGGGAGGCGGGGTTTATGACCTGTACTAGTACCAATCACTGGGGGGTGGTAGAAACGTTTTGGCTTCATTTTTGAGGGCTTGTGCAGCACGCTTGCACACATTCGCACATTTAGGGACCGTCCCTAAAGTTACAAGAATGACTTGCAGTCATAAAACCAACTGTAAAGTGTTCATGTAGGTGATGTCAGGCATAATGCACAATTTATTCAAATAAACTGAAGTTAGAAACTAGTGGCATTGACAGAAATTGTATTTTGGGTGGGCCAGTGAAAATGTGAGTGGGCCATACCCGTCCTTATGCAAAAAATAGCATATTGTGATAAAGTTCATTATTTTCCATAATGTAATGATAAAAATTTAACTTTCAGATATTTTAGATTCAATGCACACCAACTGAAATATTTCAGATCTTTTATTGTTTTAATACTGATGATTTTGGCATACAGCTCATGAAAACCCAAAATTCCTATCTCAAGAAACTCTTTTAAAAACTCCCAGCCTGTTTCATTACTCAAAACCGCAATCATCATGGGTAAGACTGCCGACCTGACTGCTGTCCAGAAGGCCATCATTGACACCCTCAAGCAAGAGGGTAAGAAAGAGAGTAAGAGGGTTCTTCATTGAGAAATTATTAATTGATCATTAACAATGTATGAAAATACAATTATTAAACACATTATGCTTATAAATCAAGAAAAAAAACATTTATAGCATTATCAATAAACTGCTTATTAATGTCTATTAAGGCATTATAAATTATGAATTAACTGTTTACTCATTCTTAACAAATGATTAATAGTGTGCAGTTATTATAAAGTGTTACCAAAATGTTTTACTTTTCATGTAGATTAAAGTTTTATTGTGGTAGGAGTAAAGGAAAAAATGAAGCCTATTTGGGTGTATTTTGGGCATATTTGATGAGTGTAGCTCATTTGCATATTAAAATTAATTTTCAAAGAAACTTGTAATACTTTTTTTTTGTACTTTTCATGGATACTTTCATTGTATAAAGTTTTGTTTTGATAGTATAGGAAAAAAATAGCCCCATTGGGGTGTATTGTTGCCTGGCCTTATTGGCACACATTTCAGATTAATGAGAATTTAAAGGAGTATCTCTCTTTAAAAAAAAAAAAAAAAAAAAAAAAAACTTTTGCTGATAATTTTCTCACCCCCATGTCATCCAAGATATCCATGTCTTTCTTTCTTCAGTTGAAAAGAAATTAAGGTTTTTGATGAAAACATTCCAGCATTTTTCTCCATATAATGGACTTCAATGGGAACCAAACGGATCAAGGTCCAAAAGACAGTTTCAGTGCGAACTATTCAAAGGGTTTTAAACGATTCCAGACGATGAATAAGGGTCTTATCAAGCGAAACGATCACTCATTTAAAAAAAAAGTTTAACTTTTATAAGCTCAAAAAAGTGTTTCTAAGTTTTAAAAAAGTTTTTCTAAAAGTGAACTACTCCTTTAACATATTTCCTCAACTAGGATTTCATAAGACTTTTAGTATGTTGTTCTGGACACCTCATAGAAAATCTAAGCTGAAAAAATATATATTTTAGTTCTATTTTGGCTCCAAAATGAGTTACTTTGCCTGGACTCTTCGTGTCACTCGAATTTATGAAAATCTGAGATCATGTTTTATGTGTATAAATTATGCGTGTATATTCCCAAACTCTCGGAGAGTGCGATCTCCACATGCATTATTTGATTGTCATATTAATAAAAATAAAAACATGTCTGTAATTAAAGTAAAAATGATTTATAAACACGTCTATGGAATGGAAATAAATAACAGTATTTTGGATGTCTTGTTCATTATATTTATTTTCATATAAAAGCAACAGAACAATAAATATGGATGGAAACACATGAACATTGTCTTTTTGGGTGAACGATCTCCATCCTAATAATAAAAGAATGAAAACGAAGAATACAAATGAGCACTTAAGAATATATGAATAAACTTAAACTCATCTATTCATCTGTGTCTAAAGTGATCAGAAGTTTGGACACTAATTCTTTACACTATCCACATAAGTCTGAAATCTGAATAACACAATGGCATTGTGGGAATGATGTAGTGATGAAAGCGTTACACACATGAACATGTCTGATATTTGAGCTTGACATTTGATTCCTGCTTTCCTCAATCTGGACATTCATCAACAAACACTATTGAGTTCATGATGACTTTCATTCACTATCTAGTGGAGATGATCAGGTGATCATGAGCGCCTCACACACACTTCTGTGTCCACATTTGTGAATAATAGTTCATATTTGTGGCTGTTACACTGATTGTTTTGTATTTCCTTTTATTTCACTTGATTATGTAAATTCATTCATTGACGTCATTAATAATCCTCACAGATAATCAGTGGTGTGGAGTTATTATTCTTCCAGTACCCCAAACAAACAAATGGAAAGAGTTTTTTGTTAAAGCACTGACCAGTGAAAGTGTAGATATGAGACGTGGACTCCACTTCATAAAAGGAGACGAGACCCTCCTCATAATCCACAAACACACCGATCCTCTGAAGCGTCACTCTCAGAGAAAGAGAGACAGAACGTGGAGACTCAAGAGCCCAATATTTCTCATCTCTCCGTCTCACAGTCCAGTATCCTTTATCAGGACTCAGGCCGATCCAGCCCTTCCTGTCAACAGATTCTCTGGCCACTCCTAAATCCCACTCAGTTTGACCCTTCACCTTCACCTCAAAGTAAAAACTCCCTAAGGAGAATCCGTTCTTCCCAAGAACACCAAGATGATACTCAAACCTGTGTTCTCCATCATCCACTGCGTTCTGGCTGATTCCACATCTCACTTGTTTCCTATCATCAGACATGATGAGACGTCGATGAGCTGAATCAGCATCCAGAGTCACATTCACTGCAGAAAATATAGAAATACTGCTTTACAGATGAGCACAACAACAGAAAGACAATTATTCATTTCAGAAGAATCATGGAAACTTTAGAACTATCATAAAAATAATAAATAATACTGCATTCGTTGTAAAAAGTTGTCTTGAGAAAACAACTAATAATTCTTTATTTTTTCATTGACACTATTTTCATTGAACTGTTTCTTTCTTTCTTTCTTTCTTTCTTTCTTTCTTTCTTTCTTTCAAACTAATCTTTCCTTCTTTATTTTTCTTTTTAAACTAAATTTTCTTTTAAAAAATCTTTTCTCTATCTTTTTTAAAACTTCTTTCTTTGTTTCATCCTAATCTTTCTATTTTCTTCATTTCTAACTAATCTTTCTTTGTATCTTTTTCTTTCTAACTATTCTTTCTATCTAATTATTCTTTCTTTCTTTCTAACAATTAAGAAATAATTAATAACTAATCTTTTCATCAATCTTTCTTTTTTATTTCGTTCTAACTATTCTTTCTTTCTTCCAAACTAATCTTTCTTTCTTTCTTTTTTTCTTTCTTTCTTTCTTTCTTTCTTTCTTTCTTTCTTTCTTTCTTCTTTCTTTCTTTCTTTCTTTCCTTCTTTATTTTTCTTTTTTTAACAAAAATGTATCTTTTCTCTTTTTAAAACTATTCTTTCTAACTAATCTTTCTTCATTTCTAAATAGTCTTTCTTTCTCTGACTCTCTTTCTTACTATTTTTTCTTTCTCTCTCACTTTCTTTCAACAATTTTTCTTTATCTTTCTTTCTTACTGATCTTTCTATCTAATTATTCTTTCTTTCTAATAATCATTTCTTTCTAACCAATCTTTATTTCTCTCTCTTTCTTTCTATTTAACTATTCATTCTTTCTTTTTTCTTTCTAACTATTCATTATTTCTTTCTTTCATCCTAATATTTCTTTTTTCTTTCTTTCTAACTAATCTTTCTTTCTCTCTCTTTCTTTCTACTTTCTAACTATTCTTTCTTTCTAACTATTCTTTTTTCTCTCTCTTTTTTTTTTTTTTAACTATTCTCTTTCTTCTCTCTTTCTTTCTAAGTAGTCTTTTTCTTTTTTCTTTCTAACTATTCTTTCTTTCTTTCTCTCTCTCTCTCTTTCTAACTATTATTTCTTTCTCTTTCTAACTATTATTATCTTTTTCATTGTTCTTTCTAACTATTCTTTCTTTCATCGTAATCTTTCTTTATTTCATCAATCTTTCTTTTTACTTTCTAACCAGTGTGAAGTGTGTTGGTTGGGGTGTATGAAATGTGCGATCTATCTCCCATTGTTTTTGTGGGAAACAATAAAATATATTTGTTACCGTGTATTTGTGTGTTCTGGGTATAAAAACGATATTCTCAAATATTTTACAACACACTTATGTATGTACTGTCTGTAGTAAGTGTAACACTGAACAAAAAAGGCCCAAGTCATTATGATGAATGAAGAAGTGAATGGAGAAGTGAAGAAGTGTTGGTTCTTATAAATGTCTATTCATATGATGGTTTGTGTGTGTCATTTGAAAACAAAATAACATTTTGAGAATATATATCATTGTTTTGAATGTAAAGTTTCATTTTGCACTAGAATTGAGGGGTTTTGCCGATTGTGTGAGTGTTTTTAGATTTGTGTGTAGAGTTCTGAGAGTATGAGGCACACTTGCAGGAAATGTGTGTAAACAATCAAGAAAAAATGTAACAGTGTATCTGATGCATTACTAAACTGAGCTGGCTGATTGGTGTTCAGTTTTGCAATTAAGTGCCTTCGGGTGAGTATTTGTGTGGTTGCAATAACCCAATGTGTTTTGTATTTTGAATACATGTGTTTTCCAAATTACACCCTGAGATTTCATTTTTGAACAAAGTGTCTTATGTATGAAATAGAGTGTAGTATGAAGGACCAAGTGTGTTGCATAAAGGAGTAAGTGTGTTGCAGAATTGCAACTAGAGTGCAAAGCAACGCTTTTGTTTACAGTTTTTCTCGATTGTTTACACACATTTTCTGAAAGAATGCCTCATATTCTCAGAACTCTACACACAAATCTAAAAACACTCACACAATTGGCAAAACCCCTCAATTCTCCTGCAAAATGAAACTTTACATTCAAAACAATGTTATTTCTTCTCAAAATGGTATTTTGTTTTCAAATGACACACACAAACCATCAAATGAATAGACATTTAAAAGAACAAGTTGAACACTGATGTGCTCAATGTAAAACACTATGATCAATGGAAAACACTTTCTTCTCCATTCATCATAATGACTTAGGCCTTTTTTGTTCAGTGTTACACTTACTACAGATATTACATACATAACTGTGTTGTAAAATATTTGAGAATATTGTTTTTTATACACAGAACATACAAATACACGGTAACAAATATATTTTATTTTTCCCACAAAATCAATGGGAGATAGATCCCACATTTTGTACACCCCAACCAACACAAAGTTGCACATACAGTGGTCTACATACAAAACAACAGAATTTCTTATGCTGTTACAGTAAAAAAAAAATAAAAAAAATATCTATGCTGCATCCTCTCTTTGGTTTTGGTATTTTATGCCAAAGCTCTGATCGCTAATTGTAAAACTGTGTGAAATGTGTTTGCCCATGTCACGAGTCAGTGTGAATATTTGAATGGCAGTGTGTTCCTCATGAAAACAAGAGATTTTCTGCATGAAAATTGTGCCAAAAGCAGAGAATTGTGTGTAGTGTTTTGAAAAAAGTGTGTTTTAGAGCTGCAATTTGAGTGTAAAGCAGGAATTGTGCTTGTAGTTCAGTAGAATTGGTTCAGGGGGTTGGTGAATGAGTTACATGTTGTGGTCATTGTGTCTCAAGTACCAGAATTTGTGTGTAAACAATCGAGAAAAACTGTAATGGCAGATCCACGGATGATCCTCCCTTTAATATTTGGCCACTTCTTTACGATAGACATGTTACAGCCACTGTAATTGCTTGAACAATAACATGTGGACATCTAAACACGCGAACTCACGAGGGTTTCAACTTTTATTTTGAAGTCGCCATGAACGAACAGTTTGCAAAATTAGGAACAAAAATTAGGAACCATGAGTGATAAATATGAACCGTCATGTTTATTAGTGTTTTGTACGTGCTCCCACAACATGGTTTCTTACATACGGCTAACACATTAGAAGGAAGTGTGTCATCGTATTTAATTCTGCGTTGCAAAATAAGGTGACAGGGTCTCCTGATGCAGACATACAGGTCTTATTACAGTTTTTCTCGATTGTTTACACACATTTTCTGGTACTTGAGACACAACGACCACAACATGTAACTCATTCACCAACCCCCTGAACCAATTCTGCTGAACTACAAGCACAATTCCTGCTTTACACTCAAATTGCAGCTCTAAAACACACTTTTTTCAAAACACTACACACAATTCTCTGCTTTTGGCACAATTTTCATGCAGAAAATCTCTTGTTTTCATGAGGAACACACTGCCATTAAAATATTCACACTGGCTCGTCACATGGGCAAACACCCGTCACGAAGTTTTACAATTAGCGATCAGAGCTTTAGCATAAAATACCAAAACCAAAGAGAGGAGGCAGCATAGATATTTTTTTTTCTTTTTTTACTGTAACAGCATAAAAAATTGTGTTGTTTTGTATGTAGACCACTGTATGTGCAACTGTGTGTTGGTTGGGGTGTACAAAATGTGGGATCCATCTCCCATTGATTTTGTGGGAAAAATAAAATATATTTGTTACCGTGTATTTGTGTGTTCTGGGTATAAAAAACAATATTCTCAAATATTTTACAACACACTTATGTATGTAATGTCTGTAGTAAGTGTAACACTGAACAAAAAAAAGGCCTAAGTCATTATGATGAATGGAGAAGAAGTGTTTTCCATTGATCATAGTGTTTTACATTGAGCACATCAGTGTTCAACTTGTTCTTTTAAATGTCTATTCATTTGATGGTTTGTGTGTGTCATTTGAAAACAAAATACCATTTTGAGAAGAAATAACATTGTTTTGAATGTAAAGTTTCATTTTGCAGGAGAATTGAGGGGTTTTGCCAATTGTGTGAGTGTTTTTAGATTTGTGTGTAGAGTTCTGAAAATATGAGGCATTCTTTCAGAAAATGTGTGTAAACAATCGAGAAAAACTGTAAATCAGGGACGTCCTCGGTCCAGCAGATTCTGTTTAGCTTTAACTTTCCTCAACACGCTGGCCTTAAAGTTTGTATGTCTAATGTTGTCTTGATTATCTGGATCAGGTGTGATCCTCCTAATGTTGTGCAGGGCAAATCTGCAGGGCCGGACATTTCTAGCAATGTGGTCTGTGAAGTTCAATTGATCATGATGGAGTTATGGATGAGGAGCCGTGTTGGGTTAGCCGGGATCACAAGTAGCTCTGTCTTCGCAAGGTTTAGTTGAAGGTGGTGATCCTTTATCCAGAACAACACAGTCTCATCCCAAAAAGTCATATAACTGACGTCTTGGGACGTCTTTTGACCATACGTCAATATCCGCCTTCTTAGGGCCCCCTTAAACGTCGGTAGATGGCGATCCCGGGCCGTCATACAACTGACGCTTTACCTTTAACGTCAGTTAGGTGACGGGTTAGGTTTAGGGTTAGGTTTAGGTCTGGGGTAGAGTTAGGATCCCATAACCTCATCTACTGACGTTTAAGGGGGCCCTAAAAAGGCGAATACTGACGTATGGTCAAAAGACGTCCCAAAACGTCAGTTATATGACGTCTTGGGATGAGACCGGGTTGGCCAGAAATGTCAGTGAGTCAGAAACCTGACTGATATAAACCAAACGCAATCCCTTTATGACATTCAAATTTGAAGATATCCCTCTTTTGGTTTGGGTTGCTAGGGTGCTTCACCATTGTTACTATGGCAGGGCTAGGATGTGTTGAAGGTGATTCCTGATTGGCTGTTTGCTGCCCAGCCTCATGTTTCTATGACATTTCTATCCCAAGATATCCCATTTGATCTCTTTGAATGGAAGTCTATGGAACTTGTTGCTAGGGCGCTCTGAATGGTTACTAGGGCTTGATAGCTTCACAATTATCCTGAGAGACTGATTGGTTGCCTGAGTGAAATGAGCCCCACCCCCTTGTCTTTGACACTGTGATCCAGTTATTGTGCAATACACAATTCTTGTGCAAAATAGTAGGAGAAACATCCTTGATAATTTAGTTTTTGGATCATTTGATTGCATTTATGCAGTGCATTATATGCAAAAAAAATACATAAATTAATCAATAAATGTTTGGCGATGAATTTAGGAAATTAAAATTATTAAAATAAATAACTATGACATTAAAAAATGAATGTTTTTTACTCACCCATGTGTTTTCTTAAATGTTGTACAGCTAAAAACAGAAATTATAAAGTTATAAAGGGTTCCTAACAGAATTCATCTTTAGATCAATAATCAGATCAATAATATTAATATTTATAATAAAATATAATAAATTATATAGCCTACATATGAATCCAAAGCGTATTTATTCATTGTTTGGCAAAATAATTCTAATTTTAATAAAAGAATATAAAAAATTCACCTTCTGTTATAATAATCTTCTGACTTTGAAGTTGATCATGTTCTAAAGAAAATTCAGAAAAAGAAGAGAAAATAACATTGAAATGACATAATTGTTATAAGTCTGACAAGTTACAATCATTAGTTGTTTAAAGGGTGATTGGCTGTTTGAAGCCCACCCTCATGTTTTACTTCTATCCCAAGATATCCCATTTGATCTCTTTGAATGGAAGTCTGTGGAACTTGTTGCTAGGGTGCTCTGAATGGTTACTAGGGCTTGACAGCTTCACAATTATCCTGAGAGACTGATTGGTTGCCTGAGTGAAATGAGCCCCACCCCCTTGTCTTTGACACTGTGATCCAGTTATTGTGCAATACAAAATTCTTATGCAAAAAAGAAAAGAAAAATAAGAAGGAAAAACATCTTTGATCATTTAGTATTTTGATCATTTGGTTGCATTTGTGAAGTGCATTATACCAAACTCTCTAAAACATAAATAAATGTTTGATATGATGATGATTTTGGGAAAATTCAATTATTAAAATAAATAATTATGTCAAAGAACATGCATAGATTATACTCACCCATGTGTTTTCTTAATTGTGGGAAAGCTAAAAACAGAAATTATGAAATGATATGCTCATAACAGAATTCATAATGAGATCAATCACTTTAATCACCTCTTGAAGAGCAACACAATCCAAGAAGACTTTATATCTTTTAATACATGTATCTTATAATAAAATGTAATGAATTGTTATAGATATATATGAATGCACAGTATTCATTAATTGGTTTGCAAAATAATTCAAAAATATTACATTTTAATAAAGCTATAAACAAATTCACCTTGTAAAACACCACTTTGTAAAAGTTGATCACGTTCTAAAGAAAATTCAGAGAAAAATGTGAAAACATGTTTTACAATAAAGACAAGAGAAAACAGCATTAAGTATATATAGCTTATATACACATATATTTCCTTCCATAGTGTTTGACAAAGAATTTCCTCAGTACTTCACATCATCAATGAAGATGAAGCCAATATATGTCGTGGATGCCTATATTACAGTCAACATAACGTAAACTTAACTTTCTGAGTTATCTTTTTTCATGGACTCAGTAAATTTATGGCACTGATTTCATTTGGGGTATTTTCAGATAAGAGTTCAGAACTACATTAATGTCCTTTAGTCATTGTATTACAGTTTTTTCTGAATGCTTAAGCGCTAATCGTGATTCTTGTAGCACAATTTCTAAAACTATTAATATAGCAAAACAATAGGTTACTGTCGTAACCCCGGTTCTCTGAAACATCGAGTGGAGAGATCCACCTATGGGAAGGGCATCCGTACCTGACCTCTGCAGAAGCATCCAATTGCACCAAGTCTGGCTAGACAGACAGAAGCGCGCGGCCAGTGCCCGATGAGGCCACACCCCTCACCCACGGGCATATAACATCTGGGCGCGCTGCTATTCCTCAGTAAGTATATTCGCTTCTCGTGCGGCAAGCGGGGCAAAGCTGGTGGATCTCTCCACTCGATGTTTCAGAGAACCGGGGTTACGACAGTAACCTATTGTTCTCTTTCATCATCTCGTGTTCGAGATCCACCTATGGGAGAGACATGGACAGCTCCCCGATTGCCCAATACACTCACAGTGAGGTTCTGAAGCCAGAGAAGGACGGTCACCCCAGGGAGGCGGTGCCTGACACGTCCCTTAATCATGAGCCTGCGATGGTGAAACCACACCTAACTAATGTGGACAGCAGGACATGAAATACGCATGGGACACATGCGAGATAGTAACCCCAACCCACCAAGACATAATCTATACCCGAAAGGGGAAGAAATGATAGGTGACAGGAATGAACATGGCCAGTCAGCCCATTCACTCTTAATGGTATATATATCCCAACAGGGTTACAGCAGGGAGGGGCTAAGACGACCCGACCCCTAGAACCGAATGTGCTACCGAGGTACTGGTGACATCCAGCCGGTAGTAGCGCACGAAGGTATGAGGAGAAGCCCAACTGGCAGCGGAGCAGATGTCCTGCAGTGACACTCCCCTAAACAGAGCCCAAGAGGTGGCTAAACCTCTTGTGGAATGAGCTCTGATGCCCCTTGGGGGCTGCACTCCCTTTGCTTTGTAAGCCATGGTAATAGCATCCACAACCCAATGTGAGAGGCGTTGCTTCAAAATTGGACTCCCTAAGTGAGGGGGAGCCCATGAAACAAAGAGCTGGTCGCTCTTCCGGAAAGCATTCGTCCTGGTCATATATGCCTGTAAGGCACGGACTGGACACAGAGCGTTAAGCCTCTGATCCTCTCGAGAGGTAAAAGGTGGAGGGTGAAAAGCGGACAGCTCCAACACCTCCGAAGTGAACGCAGGGAAGCACTTCGGCATGAAGGCCGGGTTAGGCTTAAGGAAGACCTTATCTCCACTAAGAGAGAACTTAGAGCACGAGGGATGAACCGAGAGTGCATGTAGCTCACTGACACGTTTAGCAGATGCCAAGGCCAAAAGCAAAGCTGTCTTGAGAGACAGCAGCTTAAGGGATATACTATCCAAAGGCTCAAAAGGGTGTTGAGACAGAGCTTCCAGCACCATGGAGAGGTCCCACTCCGGGACAGTTCTCCTGACGACTGGCAAAGAGCGGCGTGCACCCTTCATAAATCTACGGATTAGAGGGTGCTGACCGACGGTCGAGCCCTCAAAACCCACATGACAGGCTGAAATAGCAGCCAAGTGGACCTTAATGGTGGAAAAGGACCTGCCTTTATCCATGAGGTCTTGAAGGAAACACAAAATATCAGGAACTGAACACTGATAAGATGTGATACCGCGCCCATCACACCACCCCTCGAACACTTGCCACTTACAGCCATATAAGGGCCGTGTAGAGACGGCCCTGGCATTCTGAATAGTGGTAACCACACGCGGCGAAAGCCCAAGTGCGTTCAGGTTCGTCCTCTCACGGGCCAGGCCCAGAGAGCCACCCTGTCCGGCTGGGGGTGGTAAATCTCACCGTTGGCTTGGGATAATAGATCCGTGCGAACGGGAAGGCACAATGGCTTGGCGTATAACAGAGGGATTATCTCCGCCAGCCACGGTGCTTTGGGCCATCTGGGTGCTATCAGAATGAGAGACAGGCCCTGCTCTCTCACCCTGGCCAATGTGGGAATATCAGGCACAGGGGAGGAAAAGCATACAGGAGCACTCTCGGCCATGGGTGGGCCAATGCGTCTACCCCGAGGGGCGCGTCCATGTCCCTTAGAGAGAAGAACATAGGACAATGGCAGTTTCCGCGCGAGGCGAATAGATCTACGCTCGCCCGTCCAAATCTCATCCATAGCATTTCACTATCTGCGGATGAAGACGCCAATCCCGTAGATTGGGTTTCCCCTTGACAGCAGATATGCGCCGACATTCAGAATGCCTGGGACGTGAGTCGCGCGTAACGGCAAGAAAACCCGTCTGCTCCACACCAAGAGCTTGTGAGCTAGGAGGTGAAGTTTCGACGAGCGCAAGCTGTCCTGACGGTTGATATATGCCACAGCCGTGGTATTGTCGCACCGTACCAGCACATGATGTCCCTGCAGGCGAGGCAGAAAATGATTCAGAGCTTTCCAATTGTTAAAAAGCTCTAAATAATTTATATGTGCTGAACGTAGTCTGTTTGGCCACAGACCGTTCACCGTTTTGCCCTCCTGGGTGGCACCCCAGCCTGTTAAGGATGCAACTGTCGTCACCACTTTCCGCATCGTAACCGCCCCGAGAGGGGTTCCCCGTGCGTAAAAGTCTGCGTTCTTCCAATGGCGCAGGGCTGCAGTGCACGCGCGCGCGTCACTGTAACCGAGCGGCAAAGGTCGCGAATCGGGCTGAAATGTAGCGACAAAACCCATTTCATGAACGCCCTCATCTTAAGGAGTCCTAATGGCACAACTTGGGTGGATGAAGCCATGAGACCCTGCATCCTGAGACATGTGCGATATTGCACTTTCGCCCCTTCTCTGAACTGTGACAGACAGCTCATAGAGAGCGAACGCGCTCTAGAGAGAGACGCGCTCGCATGGCAACCGAGTTCAACTCCAAACCCAGGAAATTGACATTCTGACTGGGCGTGAGATTGCTCTTGCCCACGTTCACTAGGAACCCGAGCGATGTGATGTGCGCGAGCACACGGCCGGTGTCCTGCAACACCTTCTCCTTCGATTCGGCTATGATGAGCCAATCGTCTATGTAAGTCAGGATTCTCAGACCTGTTATTCTCAGAGGCGTTAAGCCCGCCTCCGCGCACAGACAGAAAGACCGGGGACTCAAACTGAGTCCAAACGGAAGAACTGTGAATTCGCAACATATGCCCTGGTAGGCAAAACGAAGAAAATTCCTGTGCGGAGGATAAATGCTTATGTGAAAGAAAGCATCTTTCAGATCGACTGATGTGAACCAGTCGTTCTGTTTTATGGCACGGGCGAGTGCGCCCTGTGTCAGCATTCTGAATGTGTATTTCCTCAAATGTTTGTTCAACACTCGAAGGTCCAAGATAGGGCGGAGAGAGCCGCCTTTCTTTGGAACCAGAAAATACCGGGAATAAAAACCCTGGTTCATCAGATTGGGGGGTACCACCTGAATCGCTCCCTTGTTTAAGAGAGATGAATTTTCCTCTTCCAGAATGTGAGAAGCTTTCTCTTCCGTGTGAGAAAAGAGAATGCCGTTGAAATGAGGGGGTTTACTGCGAATTGCAATCTGTAACCCTGCATTATTGTACGCATAACCCACTCGGGAGCCGAAACGGTTCGCCAAGCCGCTTCGTGACTCGCGAGTGTCCCCGCTCGGGACAGAGCAGAGCTGTGTCTTGAGACCAACAGAATTATTTGTGATGCAATGGCGCCATCTCGTGGGCACACTAGAGGCGACATGCGGGGGTTCGGAGGGGTTTCCTCTCTCTGCGGAAAGAGGTTTTCCCTCCGAAACGAATTTGTTAGATTCGTTATTATTTGTGTGTTGTGTGTTTTGTGTTGGGCAAACACTGCGTGAACTGGGCAAACATAGTGTGGTGTACACTGTGCTAAACTTTCACCCACAAGGAGCCCCCTGAAATTTGGGGGAAAACACACATCTCCTGAACACATGAACTGGGCAGTCTCAAGTGCAGGCAGAAAATACTATCCATTTTTAAGGATATACAAGAATAGTTTGTTTAAACGTGTATTTAGTTATGTGTTGGGAAACACAATGACCAAAGCCTTCCACACACACAACGTGCACTAGAAACACATGGCTTGCAGCCGCAACTGAGCTGTGCGAGCCCAGCTGGTTGATTTGTGAGGCAATGGCGCCATCTTGAGGGTGGACTCGGGGCGACATGCAAGGGATCAGAGAGATTTGCTCTCTATGTTGACACAGATATAAAAATCTGCACGAATTCATTTGATTCGTTTAATAATAGTTTGTGTTTTGTGTTGGGAAACACTGGGGCAAGCCTTTAATAACTGGGTGAGGGAACCAAGTGTGTGCGGTGTGGTAACACTGCTTATGTACTTTTCCCTCACAACAGCTTGGTAGCCACGAGACGGGATTACCCGACCGTCCGAGGGAGACCCCGTGTCTTTCGGACAAGGGTTCCGGGACCGGGAGAATACGGAGGGCTCGTGGCCCGTGAACGCGGGCTGGAGGCTCCCATGGTGGAACTCCCAGGCGGGCTGCTAGCGTTCAGGGCCGCCTTCCTACTCATCAAGGCCCGTGAGACAGTGTTAACAGTCTAGCGGGAGGCTCTAGGCGCGCTTGAGAGCTTCGCGAACACTGGAAAAAACGTTGAAGAGTTGTTTCCTCAGGCTGGGCGGTGGTACCCGCGTTTACCCGTCGTAAATATTCCTATCCTGGTCGGTGGCGCTCTGTGGAGCTGGCCACACAATGTTGAGACGAACGGCCGCTCGCTCACAAACTTCCAGGAGGATCGACTGAGGCAAAACCGCGTGAGCGCTAGCTTAGGGTAACGTTAGAAAGACCGCGTCATCCTCGTCGCCGGAACCGACCGGTTCGTCAACGAGAGTGAGGTTTTCCCGCGAAGATGTCCTATTCAGGGAATGCGGATTGGGCTGAATACCGCTCAAATATTTTATCTGTGGCGCTCCGGGAGTCCCCCGGTAGCGCGTCATCATCACCGTGTCCCCCATCCGAGTAAGAAATGCCAAGCACGGTGCGCTGGATAGTGCAACTAAAGCCGGCTTTGTAAAAAGCCACATGGGCAGCAATTACAATGACCGCAATTCTCCGGGTTCTCCGAAGCTTCTTGAGCGTGCTAAGCCCAAGCGGACCGCGCAGAACGAGAGGGTCCTTAGCGGCGATGAGAGCACCACACGCGGCCGGGCAGGCTCGTCGTGATGGACTGTTCCCCAGGGGAAGCGGCTGTTTAGACGGTCACATAGCCATGGGTGGGCCAGCGGTGAAGAACTCGGAAAATACGTGGCGGGCAGCCATGTAAGGAGGAGCAGGTGAAGGACAGTGAGAGCTCGGCGGCTCCGGATGCAAAATACACAGCGGATAGGCTGAAGAAAAACGACTGTCACTCACGTCTGGCGGAGGCTGATCTGGCGATATGTCCTCCTGTAGACTCGAAAGTGGACAGCGTAACGTTAATCCAACCGAACTGTGTCAGTGCAGAGGTCGCGAGAAGCGAATGTCAACTGAGGAATAGCAGCGCGCCCAGATGTTATATGCCCGTGGGTGAGGGGTGTGGCCTCATCGGGCACTGGCCGCGCGCTTCTGTCTGTCTAGCCAGACTTGGTGCAATTGGATGCTTCTGCAGAGGTCAGGTACGGATGCCCTTCCCATAGGTGGATCTCGAACACGAGATGATGAAAGAGAACCACTCACTGAGTTTGCAAAACTAAAAGCACAAAAACTGCTTTGCACTCAGTTTGCAATTTTGTAACACACACTTTGCAAAACTGTAGGCACAATTCACTGCACAACACTCTTTTTGCAGAACTTTAAACACAACTCACTGCTTCAATTACCAAATTTCCAACACACTCCTAGCAAAATTATACATATGTATGGCTATCATTACAGTTTTTTCTGATTGCTTAAGCACATTTTTTGTAACTATTGGCTAGTTTTGCAAAACTCTACACACAAATAAGAAAACCTTTCACCCAATTATCAAAACATTGTAGTTCTCTTGCAAAATCAAACACAGCTAGATTAACTCTTCACACCTTCGTAAAAATTGTGTTTTTGTATCAAACAGTAAACACAAGCCATCATCTACTAAGCACACAATGTGCCAACTACACACTGATGGTATGAATGCAAAACACATCTGGCTTTTGCTGTCTCTGTTTACAGATGTCAATTTGAGGTCATACTTTTGTCATAGTGTCATGTAAACATACAAGGATACAAACTTCAAGTATTGGTGTTTATTCACACTCATAAAAACCAAGACAAAGTCAGAACACAAAAGAGTAATTTTGCAAAAAAAAAACCCAAAAAAAAAAAAAAAAAAAAAAAACAATCAGCCTACATCATGTCGTCTTTCTGGGTTCGGCCGCAAAATTCCGTCCACACATCGCATGCAATATCCTCCAGTCCAAGGCACCGGGGAAAATATCTCCTTGAATGCCTTATCCAGGCCTGACATGATGCCTGGTCAATATCTCCACATGCCTCCTCCATTGCCTGTAAAAGTGCTACCTGTTGATGAGGATGACGGTCGTACACTTTCCAGAACTCCTCAATGGGATTTACGTAAGAATGGAGAGTATGGAGGGAGGTTGAGTGCCATGAAGAATGTGTGGTCTGTAAACCAGTTGCGGACCAAAGCAGCCCTATGGAAACTAACATTGTCCCATATGATGACATATCGGGTATGCTCTTCAACTCCACATCCTCTCCCTCTGCCTCCTTGTCCTATTCTAGCTCCTTCCTCCAACTTCTTCACCTCCACGTCCTTTTCCTCCAACTTCTTCACCTCCATGTCCTCTCCCCCGGCCTCCTCTGATTCTCACTCTTCTCACTCTTACTGCTCCTTCCATTGTACTCCACACAGACAGCGTACCTGTGACTTATTTATAGTGCTTAGGCTGATTGCAAAGTTAACTAATTTTCTAAAACAGTTTTCACATGTGAAAGTGAGCCAGACAGTTGGCAAAATAGTGTTAATGATAGCCATACATGTGTATAATTTTGCTAGTTGTGTTTAAAGTTCTGCAAAAAGAGTGTTGTGCAGTGAATTGTGCCTACAGTTTTGCAAAGTGTGTGTTACAAAATTGCAAATTGAGTGCAAAGCAGTTTTTGTGCTTTTAGTTTTGCAAACTCAGTGAGTGGTTTTGCCATACGTATTAATAGTTTTAGAAATTGTGCTACAAGAATCACGATTAGCGCCTAAGCATTCAGAAAAAACTGTAACACTATTTTGCCAACTGTCTGGCTCACTTTCACATGTGAAAACTGTTTTAGAAAATTGGTTCACTTTGCAATCAGCCTAAGCACTATAAATAAGTCACAGGTAAGCTGTCTGTGTGGAGTACAATGGAAGGAGCAGTAAGAGTGAGAAGAGTGAGAATCAGAGGAGGCCGAGGGAGAGGACGTGGAGGTGAAGAAGTTGGAGGAAAAGGACGTGGAGGTGAAGAGGTTGGAGGAAGGAGCTAGAAGAGGACAAGGAGGCAGAGGTAGAGGATGTGGAGTTGAAGAGGATACCCGATATGTCATCATATGGGACAATGTTAGTTTCCATAGGGCTGCTTTGGTCCGCAACTGGTTTACAGACCACACATTCTTCATGGCACTCAACCTCCCTCCATACTCTCCATTCTTACGTAAATCCCATTGAGGAGTTCTGGAAAGTGTACGACCGTCATCCTCATCAACAGGTAGCCCTTTTACAAGCAATGGAGGAGGCATGAGGAGATATTGACCAGGCATCATGTCAGGCCTGGATAAGGCATTCAAGGAGATATTTTCCCGGTGCCTTGGACTGGAGGATATTGCATGCGATGTGGACGTAATTTTGCGGCTGAACCCAGAAAGACGACATGATGTAGGCTGATTGTTTTGTTTTGTTTGTTTTTTTTTTCTGTTTTTTTTTTTTTTTGTAAAATTACTATTTTGTGTTCTGACTTTGTCTTGGTTTTTATGAGTGTGAATAAACACCAATACTTGAAGTTTGTATCCTTGTATGTTTACATGACACTATGACAAAAGTATGACCTCAAATTGACATCTGTACACAGAGACAGCAAAAGCCAGATGTGTTTTGTATTCATACCATCAGTGTGTAGTTGGTACATTGTGTGCTTAGTAGATGATGGCTTGTGTTTACTGTTTGATACAAAAACACAATTTTTACGAAGGTGTGAAGAGTTAATCTAGCTGTGTTTGCTTTTGCAAGAGAACTACTATGTTTTGATAATTGGGTGAAAGGTTTTCTTATTTGTGTGTAGAGTTTTGCAAAACTAGCCAATAATTACAAAAAATGTGCTTAAGCAATCAGAAAAAACTGTAATGTTCTGATTATTGTTTATTTGCTGTTATTTACAGTTTTACTCCTAATTCATAATGTACCTGGCATCTTATTAAACGGCAAAGACTAAGATGAACCCTGAGTCATCTGTACTTTATGGATATGGAGTTTGGCTGGCTGTTAAATTGCATCTGTATGTAAGGAGAACAGTGAGTTACACAGTGACTATTCAAAAGTGAGTTTGGAGCAGAATAGAGGAGCGCTTGCTTGTCGTTTCTATGATTACAAATGCAGACATAGTTTTATGTAACGACAATCATAATGTTTGTTCTCACATCCGCGTGACGCGTAAAAAGACAGTACAAGTCATTATAATCAGTAATTTTGTCTCCAATGAAATAAAACCTCAACAATCTGATTCGATCTGGTTTGGTCGCACTGGCAAAGTTGATCGATCAGCTTGGTCATCTGCATTTCCGGATCAGATTCGGGCTTGAATTGATAAGATATAAACGTAGACAGTAAAATGATAACATATAACCATAGAGGGATGTAACCGACATAATCACCTGTCATTATTGCTTTGGGAGCTGCTGTTCCAAATATGGTAAGGGGCGTGACATTTCCGTCATACGCGTAAGGTTTTTGGGCCAATTACAATGCACTGGATCGCTGGCCAATCAGAACACAAAATGCTTTTCAGAACGATGAGGTTTGTGAAAATCGACGTGTTTCAGAAAGGCAAGGAATAGAGAAGCAACAATAATGTACAGTATGTGTAAAATAATGACTTTCTTTAAACCTACAACTGCGTAAACCCATTGCATTAAACCAAATACACAAAATAATGTTATTTTTAGAACCATCAAATTACCCCTTTAATAAATAAAATAAGACACATTTACCATGTTGTAATCTGCGCTTCTCATTCTGTAGTTGATCGTGTGCTGAAAGAAATTGTACGATAAAGACAAGAGAAAACAGCATTAAATACGTATAGCTTACACACACACACATTTACTTCCATGGTGTTTGATAAAAGACATTTTCCTCAGTACTTTACATCATTAATGAAGATGAAGCCAATATCTGTCTTACATGGCTTTATTACAGTCAACAACGCATAAACTTAACTTTCTGAGTTATCTTTTTTTATGGACTAAGTTAAGTTGTATTTTCTTAGTATTTTAAAAATTGTAAATTATAATTTTATCTCAAATGTTTCAGTTGACAGCTTTTTTCATTACCATTTAAATTAATTGCTACAGCAAATAATAAGTGATCTGATGAACAACTCCACAAACAGCATTACCAGTTTCACTTATTACTAACCAGATTGACTTTATTTCTTTCCACAACTATAAAAGTGAGTATAAAAGATAATATATTATGATGCTCTAAGTTTTGAATTGCTGTATCATATAGATTACACAGACATCAAGAATCAGCATATGAATCTCAACAATGGTGACAATCAACTAAAAGCTTCATGCTGCAGTGCATTCTGGGTGCACCAATCAAAACTTGCACATTGATCTCAGCAAGCATTGTGATATGAATTTTAGTATAGCTTGTTTTGTGATGTTGGGATTATCTGAATATCTTGTTGATTGTCATCATTTATTGTATGAAGAGTGTTGATGTCTAAGTGTGTCTAAATGCCCAATTTAAATGTATTGCACAAGATGTTGTTTCAGATATTCTCGGTTTGTGTCAGTGTAATTGCAGTAGTTATCGTTCTATCATAGCTGAACTTTAGCTAAAAAAGGTCAGGAGTGTGTCTCATAATTTAAATAATTGCACAAACACATTTGAATGTAAAAAAACAGACAACTTCAGCTGATCTACTGTACTTTGTCAGTGCTCAAGTGTTTTCAGTTCAACACTATTGCAGATAGTGAAAAATAATTTGTTTTTAAAAAGTCAAGGGTCAAGAGCTCAACTACTGAAAACAATAATCACCATAATGGTGACCTCAGATTAAACATTATCAGCATTACTGTAAAACCTTTAACTGTAACTTTGCAGTAAATAACTGGCATCAGTTTCACCTGCAATGTCAAGCAGTTTTTTTACTTCAATAAATTGACCTGTAAAATATTGTCTGCATTGTTGCAAAAAATTAAAATACACTTTAACGCATTTCATCTGCAGAAACTGACAGCCTTAAAGGAGTAGTTCACTTTTAAAAAAACTTTTGCTGATAATTTACTCACCCCGAGTCATCCAAGATGTCCATGTCTTTCTTTCTTCAGTCGAAAATAAATTAAGGTTTTTGATGAAAACATTCCAGGATTTTTCTCCATATAATTTCTCCATAAAGCCAAACTTCAGTGGGAACCAAACGGTTCATTTTATTTATTAAATATATAATATTTAATTAATTAATATTAATTTCTTTTCGACTGAAGAAAGAAAGACATGTACATCTTGGATGACATGAGGGTGAGTAAATTATAAGCAAAAGTTTTTTTTAAAAGTGAACTACTCCTTTAAATTGGTCAATTACCATTTAACTATTTTAACTAATGTGTGCTTGTTATGTGAGCATATTAACTTATCTTTTTTTAAAGTAAAATGAACCAAATTTAACAAAAACAGGAAACATCTATTTCAGATCTATAATCTCTTTCATATAACTGCTAACAACAGCATGAACTAATATAATTAGCAAAACGTGTAAAAAAAATATGCCCAGGCTGCCGTACTTATTTACATAAAATAACAAGAAATGATCCTCTTGATCTCATTCAGTGTTCAATCCTTTATCAAAAGTGTTACAGTATTAACACACTTAAACTTTACATTACCACCACTGTGATGAACCTACAGCAAGAGTTCCAACAGCAATCAGTTATAATGAAGATTTTAAAAACACATCATGAACAAAAGCGAAGTTATAACCTCATCAATCTCAATAATGGTGACAATCAAAAAATAATAATACTCGAACAGGCTACAAAAAAAGTCAACAAAAACATAAAAAACCTTCTTCAGAAAACTCCCCAGAAATTGTATAAAGACTGGCTGAATGCATTAAATGTAACGGATGTGGATAACTCTGTGGATGTGGAAAAGCTGATGTCAGGTTGAGATTCTTATGGACTATCTTACAGTTGAACACCTCCAGAGGGACAACGCAAGGCTCAACTTCCTCGAAATGAACTGATTCATCACACACAGCAGTTCATAAAAAAATGATCAGACAAGCAGAATTTTGTGTCTACGACAAACGTGTACAAACAGTATGGACCTGAATTTTGTATAAGTACTAATGTTGTAAATGTATTTTTCATATATGCTTTATGACGTTATTTTCCATTTGATCAAGAACGTAAACTTGCCACCGCTGTTTGTGTTTAACATTAGTAGCCAGTCAGTTGCTATCGTTGCCAGTCAGATGCTATTGTGTAAAACAAACGTGTATATGGTTAAAAAATGTAGCAAATTATCATTCAGAAACGTTTAGTGTGTGGTGAGTTTCTGCTTGACTCTCTTCATCGCAGCTTTCTCGGTCTGATTCTGCCTCACTGATACTGCAGTCTCGACATCATTATTTACGTGTATCCACCGTCTATGGTATCCACCTTTGGGATGCCCGTTTCGCCCGTAAAGATAATGGGCATTAACCTTCCGGACAACGTGAGCGACAGTTTAGCCAATCACAACACACCGGCCCAAACTAACCAATCTGAGCCCACTGCCTGTTTCTGAGGGAGTGGTTTCATAGGATCAGGAAGTCCACCGCTCGTTCGAGGACAGAGGAGAGCGCGGCTGACAATAAAGGTGAAGTTTATGAAAAATACTTTTAAAAAAAGAAAAACCACGAATACATGTTATATTGCACCCCATAAACACAATCATGCAAAGAAAAAAAAGCAGTCAACCCCTCCTTTAAACAAGACTAAGTAATTTTTCTGAATTTTTTTAATGAAATATTAATTCTAGCAAACCAAACAACCGACCCCAGGGTTGAGCTGTTTAGAAGCACCGCCGAGGACCCTGGATCGACATCTTACTTCTTTAATCTAAAGGTAAGGGCAATATTTGATTGCAGTGGATTATGAAAATGTTTTAGAAGGATCAAGAGATTACGGCGGGATAGAAATACAACAAAACAGAAAATGGTAAGACCATTCAGCTGTATAATCTATTCATACTGCAATGCATGCTGGGAGTTTTGCATTATGCTGGCACCCAGCATGCATTGTGACATGAAACATTTGATTGTCACCATTGTTGAGATTAATGTGCTGATTGTTGATGTCTGTACTATGCAGATGTTCATAAATAGAAATTAGTAAAAAAAAGTAAAAATTATCCTCAGTCTGCCTTATCTATTTACATTAAACATATAAAATAGCAAGTAAACAAGAACGTTACCTCTGTTTTTATGCGTGAACACTGCTATCAGTATTCCAGCAATCACAATGAGCACAACAAAAACTGACATCAGGATGACTGACGTCCTCCAAGAAATAAACCTATTATCTGTAAAACAAATCAGTAAATAAGCAGATTGTGTAAATCAAACATATTTTATATACAGGTGTTTATTTAATGTTCAGTTCTGAATGGCACATACACATTCGTATCAATAATTTTGTTACAAAACTCTATTATAAACCTAATGTTCCTATTGCTTTAAACTTTACATAATAAGCTGTTAATCATTCATTTAAAAACATAATGTGAAACTTGACACACAAGAACAGTAACAGAAGTGTCCGTACTTACTTGTGGTGTTGATCAGTGACTCCAGCATGTGATGTGTCAGTTTGACTCTGCAGTGAATCTTGCCACTGTGATAAACAATGATGGTGTGTTTGACACTGAATCGGTCTGTGTTTCTGTGAGTCTCATTAGTTTCTGAACTCAATCTGACTCCTTCACTGTCCAGCCACTCAAGATCAGGTTCAGGATACCAACCTTCAGATTCACACTGTAGATGAAACCCTCCTGAACCATCAAACCCATCTACAGTGATCACTGGAGGACGTCCCACAACTGCAGATCAACAAGAACATCATGTTGTTATTCTGGCTTTTTTGAGTTAGTTTGTTCTGTGAAAAGAGCATGCTAGTTCTCACTGGTTTCCTCACCTTCAACTCTGACATCAACAGTGACATCATCCGACCAGGATTGGGACTGAATAAAACACTTATAACGTCCTTCATCAGAGACTCGGACTGTTGAGAGATTGAGTGATGCGTTTCCTCTCTGTAGTTCTTGATGGATCAGTTTTGTTCTCCCTCTGTAGGACTGAATCTGATCTGTGTTTCTGTCTTCATGCTCATCATAGAGATGCACCGAGTCTTTCAGATCAAGTCTAAACCACTCCACTCTCATGTCCACAACACTGATGCTGGGTTTGACTGAACAGGGCAGAATCACATCTTCACCAGTGACAGCAAATACAGGACCTGCAGGTCCCACTACTTCAAACTGCTCTGTTACAAGAGAAAGAGCAGATCTGAACTACACATCCTCAAGGTTTTTACCCTAGTGTTGTTCCAGACGAACAGTATTGTGTAAAGTATACTATTCACAATGATGATTAAATTACCTGATCTTGAATCTGTAATCCCACTAACAAGCAGGAGAGTCAAACAAATGAACTTCATCTCTGAGACACGGATGCCAAAAGAAAATATGAAAAAAGAGAAAACATTACAGAAATTTTTGTCAGCATACATGCTTCATGCCGTAGAACGACACACACTAAAGGCCCTTTCACACCGGACGCGTAACGGAAAAGCGAAACGAAAAAGCGAATAGTTCGCGTGAGAATAGTTCGCGTCAAAACCATTCACATCAGCCGCGACGCGAATTTGCGACGTTCAGAGCTTCAACATTCCAAAACATTCGCGCCGAGGGTGAACACCTGGCTATTGCTCTGTTGCAGGAAAGCAGACCTGATTTTCATCAGAAAACGTAGGCTACTCTCTAGGCTACTTATTATTATAGCCTACTAGGTGAATAAATATAGATTTTATATTAGATGTCTTTTTGCAGTGATGTTAACATGATAGGCTTTATAAAATAAATAAAAAAAATAAAAAAATCCCAATCTCTAAATAGCACATTTTCAAATAAGCACATAAGTCCATTAGGAAAGATAAAGATATGAATGCGTTCTTACCGGATTCAAAATCGCGTTCAGTGTGAAAGGACCTTAACACTTAAACTTCAGTCCAAAAGATACACACTTTCACTTTCTGTTCAAAGAAAACCGGTTAAACGGGTCAAGACAAAACAAGATACAAAATACACAATGTGTATCTACATGTAGTACAAATAAATACATATAAACACATGTTGAAGGTTGATGAATCAGGATTTTATTTTCAAAAATGCAATATATATATTATATATATATATATATATATTTTGATTCACAAACCTTTCATTTATTTACAAGATTAAGTATGATATGATACTTCAAGAAAATATGTGTCTGATTATTCTATGACTTACCTTCAACTCAACATTCACTGTGTCTCAAGAGTGTCTTAATAAATTGTGTCGATATGAAAGTTTAGTACGATCATAAGGAGATTCTTCCTGGTTTATTTCTCTTCTTCCTTTTTTATTTCTCTTGAAGGGGTGGTCAAAATCCCTTGCCTCTTCAGTATATATTTCATAATATCATTTTAAATGATTATGTATTTCTTTTATAAAATCAATAATTAAGTATATTCATTGTATCATTTATTGACATAAATGTATTCTTTGTGCTTTTGCTTGTGAAATAATATTCTTAAATGCATGCTGATGTACATGCACGTCACCAGCTTCTTTTAGGTGCACAAGGCCATTTGTCTCTTTCTCTGGTCTCAGGAGGAAGGTTTATGGATCCTAAAGGCGTCGTGAACACATATGTCCAACACATATGATACTTCTCTGTACAGATGGTCAAGCTATATTGAGCATTGCTTTATTGAACTTTAATTGTTATATTAAACTGTATTCTTTCTATTATATTTGCTTTCTGAGAAGCAAATGTTATCTGTTTTTCTCCCAAACGAGTGAATGTTTTACCATTATGTTTTGGTACACTTAACTGATAATAAGACGCTCAGACTCTCTTCAGCCTTGATAGGAGCTCCTATTTGCTAGTGTCCTATGTGAATGCAGTAACAGTGAAAATAATAGGGAAATAGGGATTTTGGTTTATGTTTGAGTGTTAAAACATAAAGGGGTCATTGAAGCCAACAGTTTAAGGCACTATTTCTTTGTTAAAGTCTTACTCCAGTTAGACAAAGGTTTAGTGCTAGTCTTCTTAGTTGCAGGTTAAGGAACCACTGCCATTATTGGAGATTGAATGAGTTGTTGTTCTGGACACACTGGCGCCAGCAACCCAAATCTATGACCTGGAAGGTCATGACGTGCCTCATCGATGGAGATATGTTTCGTCTATCTGTATATGTGTGGAAAATTACTGTGTTTATCTATATCGTAGCCAATGAGAATCATTCAACGTGTAAGCAATGACGTAGCTTAGACCTTGGAAACAGTATAACTGCCGTGATCTTTGTAACTGTAAGGGGGCGGCCTACGAACTCCTGAGTGAGTCTTGAAGCTGACTTCTGCTGATGAAATGGCAAACTATGTTCAGTAAAACTTTCTTTAATTTTTATAATTCCGACTCCGGGTCTTCATTCTTCATATCTGGTTCTGGGTCCTTTAACTGTTAACCCCTAACACTCTTCTTCCTGGTTTATTTCTCTTCTTCCTGGTTTATTTCTCTTGTAACACCTGAACAGACACAGTCCCTCCCATCATTCAGCCTGATAAACCAGTTTCTTCTGTCTCTGACACTCCTCACTTTAATCTGATGTGAAATATGGCAGACATGTTACATGGAATTAAACAAAAATGCAAACACAAATGTGGATGATGAAACAATATATGCATCAACAAATATAGGGAGAACTGTGACCCCATACTGACAGAAATACATTTCCAAAGACAGTTTATCACATATAAAATGTATTCTTGAAAAAAAAAAACATCATTATAATACAAATCGTACATTACACTTCATGTAGGAGGTTGTTGGGGTAATAATTTGGCAGGGGTCAGAATTTGGCACAACACCGGCAGGTCCCCACGTGCCTCACTTTCTCTGGCTCAGGCGCCTTCACCGGCCCTGTTCCCGGGAGATCAATGTGTACTTACATTTACGAGTCATTAAATCATGTTTAATTTGGACTTCTCTGTGCATACTCTTTGAGGTGGTGACCATAGACCTCCATTATATGACTGACAGACAAGAACGGTTTGACCTAAAAATATCAAAATTGAAAATACTGTGGAAACAAAGACACCTACATCTTGGATGCCCTTGAGGTAAGATAAAACATACCAAAAATGAATTTCAAAGTGAACTATCCCTTTAACCTTGTAAAGCTACTTTGAAACAGTCATTACTGTATAATATAGCGATATATTTAATGATGACTTGACATTTGCATAAGTAATTAATTTAGTGTTAAACAGAGTGAAAAGGTTTGTGTGTGAAAGAGAATTATGTTTTTGTTTTAATCATATACAGTAAATAATTTACTTGCTATTTTGTGGTTTAAAAATTGTGTTAATAAATGTTAATATATTGTGTATTTTGTTCATTGTTAATACAGTCTAATAAAAACCCTTAAATGGTTGGATATGCATTTTACTCTTTGTCAGTTTCAGGGCCACATCTTCAATGGTTCCCATTGAAGTCCATTATATGGAGAAAATTCCTGGAATGTATTCATCAAAAACCTTAATTTCTTTTCGACTGAAGAAAGAAAGACATGGACATCTTGGATGACTCGGGGTAAAGTAAATTATCAGCAAAAGTTTTTTTAAAAGTGAACTACTCCTTTAAGTGCATATCCAACCATTTAAGGGGTTTTATTAGACTATGTATTCACAATGAACAAAATACACTATATATTAACATTTAAACTGGGCCAGACCTGGGCCTAGAGTGACCACCCGTCCCGTTTATATTTTAAAGGAGTAGTTCACTTTTAAAAAAACTTTTGCTGATAATTTACTCACCCCCATGTCATCCAAGATGTCCATGTCTTTCTTTCTTCAGTAGAAAAGAAATTAAGGTTTTTGATGAAAACATTCCAGGATTTTCTCCATATAATGGACTTCAATGGGAACCAAATGGTTCAAGGTCCAAAAGACAGTTTCAGTGCAGCTTCAAAGGGCTTTAAACGACACCAGACGATAGCGAAACGATCGGTCGTTTAAAAAACAAATACAAAAGTTTAAGTTTTATAAGCATGCTCACCTTGCTCTGTTCTGTGATGCGCGTTTGTAACTCTCCTGTTCGAACTCGTTCATCAAAAGAAACAAATCTTTTTCCAAGTCATTCCGTTAATTTCCTTCGTTGGATGAAAAAATTTACTCTTCTTCTCATTTCAGCGTCAGCTTTTCAAAGTTACCACTTTCACTCAGAAATGTTATCTTTTGATTGCATTTCAGAATATTTTTCTCAATATCCAGTGGCACAAAAAGTGGGTATGCGCTATATCATGGGTGGGTGCATCATGGGGGCGCCAAAGCGATGGTTAAAGAAATTAAAAAATCTAATTTATATAAGTTATTTAAATTTATATAAAAGTTATGTAAGTTTAAATATAAAAAAAAGTTATATACATTTTGAGCCTAGTTCACACTACATGATTTTAAGCCCGATTGGGTTAGGGTGTTATCACGTGCAAATCACAAGGGATTGGCAGGCAATGATCGCTTGCCAATCTGTTAGTATGAAAGAGCCAACAACGCATCAAAGACGCTCGCAGACGCCTCACAGACGCGTCGCCGAGCCCAGAAAAATATCTAGCATGCCAGATATCCAGAGCTGTCGCACGACTCAACCTCACTGATGACATTAGCTACAGCCAATCAGAGCAAGGCATGGGTTGAGGTCACCGGGTAAATCTTTTTTCTTTTTTTGCACAAACAGTTTGCAGCACTAGTTTCTGTCTGACATCCATATTCACGTGTTGTGTACTTCGTCTTCTTCGGAACGCGTGCTGTTTCACGTCATTTCTGGTTTGTTTTATCGCATGATTTTTCATGATAAAACGTGGTTTGTAGACAAGATAAAATCATAGGGAGACAGAGTCTCAACTCATTGTCAACTCATGTAGCGCGTACCTCCTGTTGCGGATCAACCACGTTCTGTCATGTGATGTGAACAGCTCAACAACTTGAACACTCCTGATTTCACAGAGAGCAAGTCATGTAGTGTGAACTGCACAGTCCAGCTCATCGTTTTAAAATTATGTAGTGTAAACTAGGCTTTAGAGGACTAACAGGCATGCACAGGTCAAACGCTGCAGTGAAATTTGTGAATTGCGCATGCGTTTAATTTAAACCATTTCAGCATACCTAAGATTACATACCTAACGGTACATGTTGGTGTATTATATTGCATATTACATACACATTATCTAATTGCATGCCTTAACTCGAGGTTCTAGCGTTTGGCGTCATCTGACCAAGACTAATGTTTTGCTTTTAAATGATTAATGCTTATTTTTCTGCTAACTGTAGTTTAAACATGGAAAATAAGTGGGAGGAAAGTTTCATTTTAACCTTTTAAAGGGTTCATTCCCTGTCGAGCTAAATAAATGGCAGCATACCCCTTTATAATGTTTTTTTATATATATTAAACTAGGGGCTATCAAACCCAGAAACAATGCTGTTTTGACAAAGCAAGCTAAATTGACAGACCCCGCTATAACTCAACTTCTGATATGCTATTCTGACAAAGACAGTATACTACATTGACAGAACACCGGCGCCCTCATAAGATTCATCATAATTTATTTTGACATAGATGGGAAATATCGCGAGTGGACGGGCGCCGTGAACGCTGAGTGAGCAGCAGGAGTTGTTGAAACTCGAAAAAGATGGAGAAAGCAAAAAAGCTGTCGGTGGCTAAAAATAGAAAAAGAAAGAGGGAAATTAGATGTAATTAAAGTAAAAATGATTTATAAACATGTCTATCAAATGGAAATAAAAAACAGTATTTTGGGTGTCTTGTTCATTTTATTTATTTCCATATCAAAAACAACAGAACTTAAATTGCATCATCAACACTGAACATGAATGTGAATCCCATGACATCTGTCCATTACAGCCGTTAACTCTGAACACACACTATTATGACACTCATTTAGTCCTTTAAGAGCTTGACTGTAAAAATCAACCAATGGCTCAGACTCATCTCAATATTTAGTTTAACAGAACAATAAAAACAGGGTTAGAAAGACATGAACATTGTCTTTTTGGGTGAACGATATCCATCCTAAAAATAAAAGAATGAAAAAGAAGAATACTTAAACTCATTTATTCAAAATCCAAAAGAGTATTCTGTGTCCTAAATCTGATAAACTATGATCAGAAGTTTGGACACGGCTAATTCTTTATGCTCTCTACATGTCATGAAATCTAAATAACACAATGGCATTGTGGGAATGATGTAGTGATGAAAGCATTACACACATGAACATGTCTGATATTTGAGCTTGACATTTGATTCCTGCTTTCCTCAATCATTCATCAACAAACACAAACACTATTGAGGGAGGAACAGTTACTGCGATCAGCACTTCATGATGACTTTCATTCACTATCTAGTGGAGATGATCAGGTGATCATGTGAGCGCCTCACACACACTTCTGTGTCCACATTTGTGACTAATAGTTCATATTTATGGCTGTTACACTGATTGTTTTGTATTTCCTTTTATTTCACTTGATCAAGTGAAATAAAATGTATTCACTGACATCATTAATAATCATCACAGATCACAGGATAATCAGTGGTGTGGAGTTATGATTCTTCCAGTGGCCCAAACAAACAAATGGAAAGAGTTTCTCATTAAAAGACTGACTGACGTAAGAGTAGATATGAGACATGGACTCTACTTCATAAAAGGAGACGAGACCCTCCTCATAATTCACAAACACCCCGATCCTCTGAGGCTCCACTCCCAGAGAAAGAGAGACACGTGGAGACTCACGAGCTACATAACTCTCAAATCTCCGTCTCACAGTCCAGTATCCAGCATTAGGACTCAGATCGATATTGCCATTCCTGTCAACAGATTCTCTGGCCACTCCCAAATCCCACTCGGTTTGATCCTTCACCTTCACCTCAAAGTAAAAACTCCCTGAGGAGAATCCGTCCTTCCCGAGAACACCAAGATATTCATCAAACCTGTGTTCTCCATCATCCACTGCGTTCTGGCTGATTCCACATCTCACTTGTTTCCCGTCACGAGACACGATGAGATGTCGATGAGCTGAATCAGCATCCAGAGTCACTTTCACTGCTGAAAATATAGAAAAGTCTGCAAATATATGAGTAAATGATAAAATAAAGGCAATTATTTTTATAATTATCATGGTCACTTTATAACAACAATAAAAAATACTGCATTAATTGTAAACTAGATTAAAAAGTTTAATAGCAAACTTGAACAGAAAGTCTGAAGTAGTTAAAGTAGTAAAGTAGTAAAAGGTTTGAAATTGCTAGGGTGTTGTGGGTTTTTGCTATGTGGTTGCTAGGGTACTAGAGGTGGTTGCTATGTGGTTGCTAGGGTGATTTGAGTGGTTGTTAGAGCTTTGCAGGGTAGTGACATGGGTATTATCGGTGGTTGCTAGGGTGTTCTGATTTGTTTCTAGTGCAATTCAAGATGGTTGTTATGGTGGTTATTAGGGTGTTGCTAGACAGTTGTCAAAGATGGTTACTATGGAGTTTTTTAGGATTTTTTTAAACATATTTTAAGACATAGCTTGGCGATGCTATCATTAATTAGCATGTTGGTAGCTTTATGCTAGCACTTTTTAAGTTGTTTTAATCCTGTTTTAATAATTAGTTTGTGGTTCCAGGTTTTTGAGCATGACTTCAAACCACAACTCACGACGCGCATTCCAGGCCAGTCACGCCTAACAACCTGACGCACGGAATTGTGGAAGCTAGATGTAAACAAACCAGCATGGCGGACTTTACGGGGCTTACACGCATTTGTAATAATTTCTGTCGCTAAAGGTGCTTACTCCTTGTTTATTTGAGGAAAATGGAGGCGAATACGGCAAAATAAGCTGTTATACTGTACCATTTATTTTACTTTATTTGTATATTTGGAAATGTATTTGGTATTAATTTATCCTTGCACTCAATGGACTGAAAACTAGTTAACGTTATATTGTCCTACAGTGTATTCTCACCATGTACCACCTGCAGAAAGGCAGAAACACTGCATCCGTACGGGCTGCAATTGTTGTTTTGTATGGTTAAATTTTCGGAAAGCCACGTCCTCGAATCGTAGTTGTATTGTGAAACCTTAGTTTAGTGTCAGCCGTGTTGTTTCGACTGGCTATAATGCACTGTCAAAACTACACGGCTTGGTGTGGATTGGGCCCATAAATGCTCACCGTGCTCTAGCCTACTTTCTTTACAGTGTTAACACATTTGGAAGAACTGATGTGTGTAGTCGTGTAATGCTGTGACGTGTGTGTACCTTTTGGAAATGGCTCAAAGAGCATGATTGGCATGGTTTGTGTGGGCTTGTAATGTCTGTTCTTCTCTAAGTGGTGTGCTTTGGCTCACTTGTGGTATTGTTATACACATATAACACAATATAATTGAATATGTTCTCATAGCCACTTGTGTTATACACCGCGGGGGTGATAAATATGGCCATCATATTTATTAGTTTTTAGTATGTGTTTCCACAACATGGCTTCTTACCTACCGGCTGGCAAAGCTAAAGTCTAACACATTAGAAGGAAATACATCATTGTTGCACTTTATTTAAATTAGGATATTTTACTTTATATTTTACAGTTTTTGTTTGGCAGCCGTAGCTGACAGTCATTGACCATTTTTTAAAGATTTAATTTTTTACAGTGTAGGGTATTCTCATTGTTTTTGTTTTGTTTGTTTTTTTTTTGGGGGGGGGCACCTTTGCTAGGTGGTGGCTAGGGTGATTTGAGTGGTTGCTAAGGTACTCTGTTTGGTTTCCAGGTAATCCCTTGGCAGTTGCCAGTGATGATGAAACTCCAATGGCTGCTTGACAGAATGAATGATATAAACCAAGTGTAATCCCTTTTATGACATTCAGATTTCAAGATATCCCTCTTCGGGTTTGGGTTGCTAGGGTTCTTGACCATGGTTGCTATGGCGGGGCTAGGAAGTGTTGAAGGTGATTTGTGATTGGTTGTTTGCTCCCCACCCTCATGTTTTTATATCACACTTCTATTCCAAGATATCCCCTTTGATCTCTTTGAATGGAAGTCTATGGAACTTGTTGCTAGGGTACTCTGAATGGTTGCTAGTTATGTGCAATACAAAATTCGTTTACACTTTATTCTTAAGATGTGATTGTTACAGTGCATTATACCAAAAACTCAAAAAACAGTATACATTTATAAATGTTTGACATGATGATGAAATTGGGAAATTAAATTAAATACTTATGGATAGATTTTACTCACCTGTGTGTGTTCTTAAATGTGGGAGAGCTAAGTATGAAACAGACAGTATGAAGTTATAAAGGGTTAATAACAGAATTCATCTTTAAATCAATATTGAGATCAATGATTCTAATCACTGTTTGAAGAGCAACAAAATTCAAGAAAATTTTACACAGTTTATACTGTATATCCTATAATAAAATATAATGAATTACAAACATATGAAGAGTTCAGATGCAAAAGCCTCTAAGTGGCATTTGAAATTTTCTTCTAAAATGATCATTTTTATCAAGCTTGTATATTTAAGTTCAGTAATTTCACTTAAATGGCAATGAAGATTACCTATTAATTGTCATTTAAGAGAAATTACTGAACTTAAATATACAAGCTTGATAAAAATGGTCATTCTAGAAGAAAATTTCAAATGGCACTTAGAGGCTTTTGCATCTGAACTCTTCATATATAAATACATGGTGTATGAATTAATTGTTTTGCAAAATAATTCAAAAGTAATTAATAGTTTAATAAAGGCATTTAAACAAATTTACCTTTTGGTAGAATAATCTTCTGACTTTGTAAAAGTTGATCACGTTCTAAAGAAAATTCAGAAACAGACGAGAAAATAACATTATCTGCTGTAGAGCAGAATCAAACTTATCAAAAAGCTATATAAATAAAGGTGACTTGACATTGAAATTACAAACAAGTTACAATCATTAGTTGTGTTTATAGTGTGTGTTAACACCACACAAGTACATCTGTGACTGAATAAATGTACATAACATATAACATAACCATTCATAGGAACCAAGACACAAAACTATGAATGCATACAGTCTGTTAAGTAGATATCAAACGGCAACCTCCCCGTCTCTCTCTTGAAACCAACACAGAAGTGAATTAAACTGCAATTCATCGACTGACCGCTGACTGCAAAAGGGAGTCAAATCTGTATCGCCCCTATGTTAAAATGGCCAACTTTACAACAGAAAAAAAAATATGTTTACAGCCTGGAGCAAAAAGTGGTTTTGGTCTTTATAACTTATTTTGCCCTTCAAGACAACTGTGAGGGGAGTGATTTACAACTCATCCGTTTAAAATTATATTAAGCCTGCATAATAAAGGGCGTGGCCACTGGATTGCGGCTGCTGTGTCACTGCTATTGTATGTCTGCTGTCTGTTAACGTCACTCTCAGCTAGACTGAGTGGAGCAGATGACCTGTTTAAGAGCCCCACGGCTCGTCCGTACCAATAGGCAGTAGCGGTCGATAGAGTGTCTACCTACAGAATATGATGTCTATGGGGGCAGGTCCCAAAAGGGCAAATGTCCATAGACCCCATGTTAAAATGTCCGTTTTCACAGCATAAATTCTTGCTTTTACACATTAGTCCCATGGACTTTTATTATATTTTTTTATAGGTTCCGAGTGCCAGACAACTGTGAGGGGGGTGAATTTTTTTTCTGACTTGTTAGTTTGGATCATATTTAGATATAAAATGTATGACAAATAAGGGCAGTTAACTTTGATTGACAGCTGATAACGGGCTGCTCCAAGAGGAATGTGATGTCTCGGCCATGATCTGACACAACACATCATACCACCTCTGTATTCTTTCTGAACATTTGTATTTTGTATTTCCCAAGATTTTCCAATATGGCGCCGCCCATACCCCCCATCTATGGGTGACGTCACAGACGCTTTGTCCATATTTTTTGATTGACATGCATGTGCATGACTCACTGTCGCACAAGCTCAGAGCAATATTGTATACTGCATGATAATATATTTTTCATAACAGAATAATAATAAATCACGATACTATCTCACTTTTAGTTACGTCTTTTAACTGTTATAATATTTCCAAGGGCAAACACATGAACTTTAACTATTGGCTTTAATTCTTCAATCAGCTGTCACTTTAGCGTGAGGCCAGTAGCACATTGCTTTAGCACCTCAGCTCAACCCACGTCCCGCCTCTTTGCCCATTTTATTTTATCTGGTTGTGACGAGAGGTCAAGATGGCGACAGTAAGCCCCGCCCACTTTAGGCTACAAAAACGCTCTTCAGAAACTTACGGGTGACGTCACGGACACTAGTCCATATTTTTTTACAGTCTATGGTAGATATGTTATGGCTGAAATCAGACTTTAAATGAACAATTAATCAATAACTTAATAAAGACGGATTTACCATGTTGTATTCTGCTCTTCTCATCCTGTAGTTGATCGAGTGCTGAAGAAAATTCTGAATAAAGACAAGAGAAAACAGAATTCAGACAACATTAGCATTGATAACATATAATGTCTGATTTTTTTTAATTATTATTATTTATTTGTTCATGTATTTGAAAAGAAATAATTTGGATTGAATTGAAAAACTCGCTTCTAATAATAAAAAAAAAACACGCTTAGATTTCGGGAAAAAAACACAATCCTTTTTTTTTTACTTTTTGGCTTCCTGTACATTCAGTTGTGCTTCTTGCTCGTTGTCACCACCCTTGGACCTTCTGTGTGTTTTCATTTACCACGTGTGCCCCTCGTCTGAGTTCTCCGCCCTCATCTGTTTCCATGGACACTAATCACCTCCCGCACAGCTGATTGTCATTTGTTAATCACCATCACTGTGTATTTTAGTTCCTGCCTGTCTTCACTCCCTTGTCCGATATTGTTCGTGTTTACACGCTGTCAGTCTGTCTACCTGTTCCTGAGCTTCGATTATTAAAGTTGTATGTTTATTCTACTCTCCTCCTCGTCTTCCTTGGACTCCCCCGTGATACTCGTATTCAGTTCTGATGGTAGGCTATGGGCAACTATGCATGATTTGTAGTATGATTGTGTAAAGGGAACAGGAATTACGGTTGGGAACAGAATGGACTGCTAACCCAGTGCCGATCCTGACCTTCCCCTGGGGCCCTAAGCAACATTCAAAATTCACACAGTCACATCTGACACTTGCTTTCCAATACAATCCTCTTAAACAAAACAGTCAAGGAATAAGCACAACAATAAAGAACAGAATGAGGTTCAAACAAACAATATTTATTGAATAGAGTATTTTTTTTATAAAATATTAATTAACGTAAACATAAATAAGAAGAAAATAATAAAGTATAACCCTGAGCTTTGGCTTTTGGGATTAACTTTGGTTCTCTCTACAGCCTGGGTATTTTCGGCATCAGTAGGATTTTTTTTTTTTTTTTTTTTATTATTATGCATGTTGAAGCAATTCTTGATTTATATTATTTACTGAGGGATGTGCATCCATATTGACCAGTATGTCCAGCTAATCAACATTTTAAATTCAATATACCCTATAAATCATATGTCAATCAATGTCAAATTGTCAATACATTTTGCTTTTGTGCAGTATGTCAGGTCTCCGCATATTTCTGCTTGAAAAATGCGAGTTTTATGTCATACAGTATGCATACAGTAACAATAACACACGCGACACGGTTATGTTTTCCGAGCTGCCGTAAACAAACACCGTTGCACTTTGTCGTTTATCAAAAACAAACATATTAAATAATTGTATTTTACTCTCACTTTTGTCAGGCACAAAGTGATGCAAGAGATGCCGTGCCCGCCCAGCTAGGTTAGCAATAGCAAGACCGAAAAACATCAAACTTTGCTGACATCAATCTTAGAGAGGAGAGAACACACGTTTACCTGATTGTTGTTCCCGCAATTCACTCTCATGGTTTTTTCTTCTTCCTCTTTTCATGACCAGAAGGATAGTTTCGCTTCATTTTGTCATGGATGTTGTACACATTAATTGACTTTATGCCCAGCTGCACTACTTCCTGAACTTCAGCCAGCTCTTTTGTTTCCTGTCTGCCATTATTGGACAAATTGATTAATTCAGGTGTGCCTGACCTAATCACGCAACAATAATCAGACACACCTGAATTAATCAAGTTTGTCCAATAATGGTCGACAGGAAACAAGGAGCTGGCTGAAGTTCAGGAAGTAGTGCAGCTGTGCATAAAGCCAATTGGTGCGCGACACGAGATGGAGGCGGGGCCTTAAGTAATTTGTGGGGCCTTATGGTGTGTTCACACCGAACGTGAATTTAATAGTTTGCGCGAGTAGATTACATACAAAGTCAATGCAAAGACGCGAATAGACGCACCATTGGGCGACGCGTTTTGGCGCGAACGTCTTCAGCGCTAGTTGAAAAATTTGAACTCGAGCGGAAGATTCGCATGACGGTTTGTTGCGCCAGCCAATCAACGAAGAGCTAATCGATACGTCCGGTCTATCACTGTTGTCGAAAATGGAGGAGATGCTAATTGTTGCCATCTGTGGGTACCCTGAAATATATGATACTACGTCGTATGCGTACAGAGACAGGCTGTCAACCAGACGCAGTTCCCGGAGAAGAGGGTGAAATTCACCGAGTTGAGATCGCCTCTGGATGGTGCTGTGAACCCAGACACGTCGGCGTTTGGCTTTCCTCCGCATTTTGGGACTTCCACAACAAGTACAGAGCAGCAATATCTTTTATTTCAGACATGACGGAAATGTATGCCAGAAAGAAATTGTGTTGTTGTTGTTTTTTATTCGTGAGTGACGCGGACGCGCGAATGGGTTCAAAATGTTCAAAATGCAATAGAAGCGTATTTGATGCTCTATTCACGTTCGGTGAGAACACACCATTACGCTCTGGTCGCGTGCAGTTTATAGTCGTGTGCAGTTTGGCAGCCAAGTAAACAGTTTGCCCTTCCCTTTCTGACTTTCACTTTCGGTGCCCGAATGAAAGTGAATGAAAAGTGAATGGAATGAGGCATCCCTGCGATAAAATGTCTCAATTTTAGTCACGTCTTTTAGCTATTATAATATTTCGAAGGGCTAAAACATGAACTTTAACTATTGAATTTAATTCTTCAGTCAGCGTGAGGCCAGTAGCACATTGCTTTAGCACCTCAGCTTAACCCACGTCCCGCCTCTTTGCCCATTTTATTTTATCTAGTTGTGACGAGAGGTGATGCGCTGTCAAGATGGCGACGGTCAGCCCCGCCCACTTTAGGCTACAAAAACGCTCTTCAGAAACCTACGGGTGACGTCACGGACACTAGTCCATATTTTTTTACAGTCTATGGTAGATATGTTATGGCTGAAATCAGACTTTAAATGAACAATTAATCAATAACTTAATAAAGACGGATTTACCATGTTGTATTCTGCTCTTCTCATCCTGTAGTTGATCGAGTGCTGAAGAAAATTCTGAATAAAGACAAGAGAAAACAGAATTCAGACAACATTAGCATTGATAACATATAATGTCTGATTTATTTTTTATTATTTTTATTTATTTGTTCATTTATTTGAAAAGAAATAATTTGGATTGAATTGAAAAACTCGCTTCTAATAATAAAAAAAAAAAACACGCTTAGATTTCGGGGAAAAAACACAATCCTTTTTTTTTTTTTTTACTTTTTGGCTTCCCGTACATTCAGTTGTGCTTCTTGCTCGTATTCAGTTCTGATGGTAGGCAATGGGCAACTATGCATGATTTGTAGTATGATTGTGTAAAGGGAACAGGAATTACGGTTGGGAACAGAATGGACTGCTAACCCAGTGCCGATCCTGACCTCCCCCTGGGGCCCTAAGCAACATTCAAAATTCACACAGTCACACCTGACACTTGCTTCCAATACAATCCTCTTAAACAAAACAGTCAAGGAATAAGTACAACAATAAAGAACAGAATGAGGTTCAAACAAACAATATTTATTGAATAGATTTTTTTTTAATAAAATGTTAATTAACGTAAACATAAATAAGAAGACAATAATAAAGTCTAACCCTGAGCTTTGGCTTTTGGGATTAACTTTGGTTCTCTCTACAGCCTGGGTATTTTCGGCATCAGTATGATTTTTTATTTTTATTTTTATTATGCATGTTGAAGCAATTCTTGATTTATATTATTTACTGAGGGATGTGCATCCATATTGACCAGTATGTCCAGCTAATCAACATTTTAAATTCAACATACCCTATAAATCATATGTCAATAATGGCCGACAGGAAACAAGGAGCTGGCTGAAGTTCAGGAAGTAGTGCAGCTGTGCATAAAGCCAATTGGTGTGCGACACGAGATGGAGGCGGGGCCTTAAGTAATTTGTGGGGCCTTATGGTGTGTTCACACCGAACGTGAATTTAATAGTTTGCGCGAGTAGATTACATACAAAGTCAATGCAAAGACGCGAATAGACGCACCATTGGGCGATGCGTTTTGGCGCGAACGTCTTCAGCGCTAGTTGAAAAATTTGAACTCGAGCGGAAGATTCGCATGATGGTTTGTTGCGCCAGCCAATCAACGAAGAGCTAATCGATACGTCCGGTCTATCACTGTTGTCGAAAATGGAGGAGATGCTAATTGTTGCCATCTGTGGGTACCCTGAAATATATGATACTACGTCGCGTACAGAGACAGGCTGTCAACCAGACGCAGTTCCTGGAGAAGAGGGTGAAATTCACCGAGTTGAGTTCGCCTCTGGATGGTGCCGTGAACCCAGACACGTCGGCGTTTGGCTTTCCTCCGCATTTTGGGACTTCCACAACAAGTACAGAGCAGCAATATCTTTTATTTCAGACATGACGGAAATGTATGCCAGAAAGAAATTGTGTTGTTGTTGTTTTTATTCGCGAGTGACGCGGACGCGCGAATGGGTTCAAAATGTTCAAGCGTCTAACTAGACGCGATAGACACGTATTTGATGCTCTATTCACGTTCGGTGAGAACACACCATTACGCTCTGGTCGCGTGCAGTTTATAGTCGTGTGCAGTGAGGCAGCCACGTAAACAGTTTGCCCTTCCCTTTCTGACTTTCACTTTCGGTGCCCAAATATAAGTGAATGAGGCGTCCCTGCGATACAATGTCTCAATTTTAGTCATGTCTTTTAGCTATTATAATATTTCGAAGGGCTAAAACATGAACTTTAACTATTGGCTTTAATTCTTCAATCAGCGTGAGGCCAGTAACACATTGCTTTAGCACCTCAGCTCAACCCACGTCCCGCCTCTTTGCCCATTTTATTTTATCTGGTTGTGACGAGAGGTGACGCGCTGTCAAGATGGCGACAGTCAGCCCCGCCCACTTTAGGCTACAAAAACGCTCTTCAGAAACCTACGGGTGACGTCACGGACATTACGTCCATATTTTTTTTACAGTCTATGGTAGATATGTTATGGCTGAAATCAGACTTTAAATAAACAATTAATCAATAACTTAATAAAGACGGATTTACCATGTTGTATTCTGCTCTTCTCATCCTGTAGTTGATCGAGTGCTGAAGAAAATTCTGAATAAAGACAAGAGAAAACAGAATTCAGACAACATTAGCATTGATAACATATAATTCATTCAAATCCACAGTTGAAAAGCTTTCAACCTTTCACTTCCAAGCTAGTAATGGACCAGCGAGTGCCAGTAAGTCTCTTCCTAATGGCATTCATTGCCACTTTCATAGCGAACTGAGTTAAAACCAAGCCTTCCCCCTTTCTGGCAAGAAGGAACGTTGTGTACAACACACAAGCCCTTTTTCCACCAAAGCATTTTGAGAGCCGGTTCGGAGCCGGTGCCTGCGCGAACCTGTTCTTTGTGTTTCGACAGCCAAAGAACCGGTTCTCGGCCAGGAGAACTGGTTCCAAAGCGGCACCAACTCTTTGCTGGACTAGAACCGTTCTTTTACCACGTCATGCTTACGTCGGGGGCTGGGGGCGGGTTTAGATGTGCTCTAAACATCTTTTCTGACCATAATAAAGGATCGCAAATCAGGAGAAACATTTGCAGAAACACGATGGAGTCCGCCTTTGTAATTGTTATGCTTGAAGTTAACGCAAGCGTTTCTATTTTTGTAATTTTTTTTATTGAAGACATTATAAGCAAAAAAGAAAAGTCACAATATAGAACAAATAAATGGAAAGAAAAAAAGACACAATTACAGGGGTACAAAACTCATCAGAAAAAATTACATATCAAACGAAAAGATTAAAAGACTTACATATTTCAATTGTTTTAAAGCTTTCTTGGTATACGAGTTAGAGATGATCCCAAAGTAATGTTGTATTTGCAAGCGTTTCTAGCTAAGACGTATGGCGACGTACACAGTGACGTAACGACGTCGTTCCCTGGGCGCTCTAGTCAGTGGAAAAACAAATAGGTTCTGAAGCGGTTTGCAAGTTGAACCAACTCCGAACCAACTTTGAACCAGCACCAGTTCCGAACCAGTTCTTTTTTGGTGGAAAAGGGGTAACACACACACACACACACAGCTGGGAGTCAGGCCTCAAAAGCCCCTTTCACACAGAGATATTCTGGAAAATACACGGATAAAGTGACTTGGCATTTGTCCCGAGATTGTTTGATTTCGGTTCATTCACACTGCCAGTGATTTGCCGGGATCTGTGAGTGCGTTCCCACACAACCTGTAAAGATCCCGGAAAGACACATGACGTCAGGATGAGATGTGTAACGTACATGTCGAAAACATGTACGCGCGCATACCGTTCCACAAAGCTGGTGAACGATCTCAGGTTCAGCGCGGATAGTGAGGAGCTCCTGGTCTCTGCTTCGTTCCAGTTTGCTGACATTTCTTTGTTGATGACGAACACAACTTTCTTCTAAAAGCAACACGTCACGCGATTGATCCTGGCTTTTGTTCACACAGCGCGCGTTCCAGGACTGATTCTGGCAATGTTACTAGGTCCCCAATCCCGGGTCGTGTTTGCGTTCACACAGAAGGCGTTCTGGCAATTTCCCGGCAATTTCCTGGGATCAACGCGCTTGGTGAAAAGGGCTAAAGAGATCGCTATCTCCTCAGAGCCAGGCAAGGCGGCCAGAAAGCTCTCTCTAAAACGCACACACATAAACAGACAATGTCTCGGAGTGGATTCGAACCCGGGTCTCTCACACCAAAGGCATGTGTCTTATCCACCGCGCCAGCACCACCACTAGATATTTTAGACACACTCTGAATGCCTATATTCATGCATATGAATGTAAACTTGCTTTCCTTTTATGTTTGCACACCTTGCGTGGTATCATTGGAATCCTCCCGGTCTCCTCAAGTCAAAAATGCAGGAAACAATAACTTTGGATGAGTCTCTTGATCTCATCCAGTGTTCAATCCTTTATCAAAAGTGTTACATTATAAACACTTTTAAACTTTGCAAAAAATGGTGAGACCGTACAGCTGTATAATTGATTCATGCAGCAATGCATGCTGGGAGCTTTGTACTATGCTGGCACCCAGCATGCATTGCGACGTGAAACTTTTGATTGTCACCATTGTTGAGATTCATGAGCTGATTGTTGATGTCTGTGTAAGTTATGCAGGTGTTCATAAATAGAACTTAGTAAAAAAGTTTAAAAAACGATCAGAGTCTGACTTATTTATTTACATAAAATAGCAAGAAAATAACTTTACCTCTGTTTTTATGCACAAACACAGCTATCAGTATTCCAGCAATCACAATTAGCACAACTATAACTGAAATCAGAATGGCCAATGTCCTCCGAGAATTATCTGCAAAACAAAACAGTAAATGAGCACATTGTTTAAATCAAACATCTTTTTACAGGTGTTTGTATAATGTTGATACACAACTCTATTATAAACCTAATGTTGACATTGCTTTTAGCTTTACATAATAAGCTGATAATCATTCATTCTTTTGAACTGCAGCAAAAATATCATGTGCAAGAACAGAAGTGTCAGCACTTACTTGTGGTGTTGATCAGTGACTCCAGCATGTGATGTCTCAGTTTGACTCTGCAGTGAATCTTGCCACTGTGATAAACAATAATGGTGTGTTTGACACTGAATCGGTCTGCGTTTCTGTGTGTCTCTGTAGTTTCTGAACTCAAACTGACTCCTTCACTGTCCAGCCACTCAAGATTGGGTTCAGGATACCAACCTTCAGATTCACACTGTAGATGAAGCCCTCCTGAACCATCAAACCCATCTACAGTGATCACTGGAGGACGTCCCACAGCTGCAGATCAACAAGAACATGATGTTGTTATTCTGGCTTTTTTGAGTTAGTTTGTTCTGTGAAAAGAGCATGCTAGTTCTCACTGGTTTCCTCACCTTCAACTCTGACATCAACAGTGGCATCATCAAACCTGGATTTGGACTGAATTAAACACTGATAAACTCCTTCATCAGAGACTCGGACTGTTGAGAGTTTGAGTGATGCGTTTCCTCTCTGTAGTTCTTGATGGACCAGTTTTGTTCTCCCTCTGTAGGACTGAATCTGACTTGTGTTTCTGTCTTCGTGATCATTATAGAGATGCACTAGTGGTGAGTTTTTCAGATCAGGTCTAAACCACTCCACTCTCATGTCCACAACACTGATGCTGGGATTGACTGAACAGGGCAGAATCACATCTTCACCAGCGACAGCAAATACAGGATCTACAGGTCCCACTACTTCAAACTGCTCTGTTACAAGAGAAAGAGCAGATCTGAACTACTCATCCTCAAGGTTTTTATATAGTGTTGTTCCAGACAAACAGTATTGTTCAAAAGTATATTATTCACAATGATGATTGAATTACCTGATCTTGAATCTGTTATTCCACTAACAAGCAGAAGAGTCAAACAAATGAACTTCATCTCTGAGACACGGATGCTAAAAAGAAAATATGAAAAAAGAGAAAACATTTCAGAAAAGTTTGTCAGCATACATGCTTTATGCCGCAGAATAACACTTACACTTAACCTTCTGTCCAAAAGCGAGATACAATCACTTTCTGTTCAAAGAAAACCGGTTAAGCGGGTCAAGACAAAACAAGATAAAAATACACAACGTGTATCTACATGTAGTGCAAATAAATACATATAAACGCATTTAATCAGGATATCATTTTCAAAAATGCAAAATAGTTTTGATTCAAACGCCTTTCATGTATTTACAAGATTAGCCTAAGTATTATATACATTAAACCTGTTGAACTCAAACATTGTCCTCGAGTCACACTCGTTCCAGACTTCAGGTAAACGTGTTTCAGATTCTTCCATGACTTACCTTCAACTCAACATTCTCAGTGTCTCAAGAGTGTCTTAATAAATTGTGTCGATGTGAAAGTTTAGTACGATCATAAGGAGATTCTTCCTGAATGGTTTATTTCTCTTGTAACGTCTGAACAGACACAGTCCCTCCCATCATTCAGCCTGATAAACCTGCTGTAGTTTCTTCTGTAACTGACACTTTATTCTGATGTGGAAATACGGCAGACATGTTACATGGAATCAAACGAAAATGTGAATAATGAAACAATATGCATTCGCAAGAAACATCCCAGAAATACATTTGCAAAGACATATAAAATGTATTCTTGAAATAAAAAACATCATTATAATATAAATCTCATATGTAACATTTAAAATAAGTTTCGATAGTAGAGAAACAAAGGAGACAAAGTATGAAAATTTTAGACATTCATCAAAATGAATCGATCTGAAGTAATAGTTTGCGAATTGTCACAGAAGTTTATAGTGTATTCATTGCAGTGGTTCATCAGTCTTTCTCATCACATTAAAAAAAGCTTAGAGGTGAACACAAGTCACTTATCTCATTGAAAAAGTTTTGTTTAAAATCATGTCCTCCCACATTGACTCAGATCAGTGGACTAATTATTTTTATTTAAAAAAAATCATGACTTACTACAACAGAGCATTTCTACAATGGTTGTTGCATGATGTCACTGACGATGATTCATGCCATTAGGCGTCATTTACAACACAACATAAAAATGACTGTGTATCTTTAATATCTCTGCTTATGCACAATAGTTTCCAAAATTATTATCATTATTATTATTATTATCAGACATTAAATATCTGAAGATCTCAGCAAAGGAGTATTAAACAACTCCACAATTCACCATCTACACTTATTCTTCATCTGGGTTTGTGTGTATAGCCTTGTTATGAAGCTGTATTGAAACGACAATTTGGGCCTTCAACAGTTGGACCCTACTGAAATCCACTATATGGAGAAAAATAATACAACTAAATGTATACAAGTAAATGGTACAAGGAAATGTCCGGGTAAGACACCTCTGGCCACTGGGTGGGGTTGTTACACCAATTTGACGCTGGGAGAATAAAGGGACATGTTTTTAAATTGACCAAATTAAGTTTGTGTATGTATCTTTCACGCTCTATGGCAGGCAGGGTGGACATATAATTACTTGACATGTTTTAAGTGATTTCTTAAGTTATTTACGCATTTCGGCTGTGTACGGACGTTAGTTTTGCCGTTATTTTGTATAGCCCTTTTACAGTTGTAAACATGGTGACGTTTTTTTATGGGCGGAGCTTAGGCGGAGGCAGAACGATCCCTCTGGCCGCTTCACTAGTTAGCAAGGATTGTTAGCTTGTTTTTTAACAATGACTGGAGAAAATACGATATTATCTTAATGTGTAAGTAAGGTCACTCAGTGTTCAGGACTGCGATTGTTATTTCCAAACGTTATTTGTAACGTACAGAACCAGATTGGCCGACCCGTAGCCGCCTACACGCTCATTCAATGCATGGATGATCTGACAGGATTAACGTACGTTACCTCGGTTGAGTGGCCTGACTTCTACACCTACCTTATAGAGAAACCGATCGTAAATAGAAACTGAGGGCATATAATTCAGATGCCTATATGGTCCTGTACAAGACTTGTGTGTACGATCCGCAGTTCTGCCGAGTCAGCGCCGAGACCACGACAATCTAAAGAGTGACATTACAGTGCGATTTTAATAATGTGAATATTTTCTAGAAATAAAAGTTCCAGATACAGCATATTCATTTTTCATTAATTCTTGCACCAAACAACACAACAAGATGACATTTAATAATAGTAACAATTATTTAAGCTCCTTATTATACTCCTGGAACCCTGGAACTGATTCCCAAGCCTAAAGAAAACTGCAGTTAATAATCGTGAGCTTGGTCAACAGCTTTGGGCAATTAAATGTTTGTCCATTCAAAGAGACAGGAGCCATACCTTTCAAAGATGGCCGTCGAGTGAAATGATTTCCCTAAAGGGACTTTGCTAATATTTTCTTTCATTGTTGAATACTGTTACAATGTTAACATTATTTATTAGTTAACATTTTATATTTGACAGATATTGCTGTAAATACAGAGAACATAAAAGGACATGGTGAATATTTTTCAAAGCGTGTGCTCTCGCAATACTTTTGCTTTCCCTCAAGAATCTTTTGGTTTGCTTGCAAAACTTTTGCGTTCTCTCACAAAACTCACAAAAGTTCGGACAAACACTTCCTGTTTAATTTTCCTCTGCAAGTTTAGTACAGTACAGAGCCCCTAAAGGGAAATGGGGAAGGAAAACAATATGAGATGGGAGGGGAAATTATTATGTGTCAAGCATGCTTTTGTGTTCTCTTGCAAACGTTTGCATTTCCCAGTGAAACTTTGCGTCCCTCGCAAAATGTTTGCGTTCCCCCGAGAAAGAACACAAAGGTTTTGTGAGTGAATGCAAAGTTTCTTGGGAGAACACAAAACATTTGTAAAGCATTGACTCCATCTCATATTTTTTTCCACCACTGTGTCCCTTTAGGGACTCTGTAGAAATAGGTAGGCTACCATACTGCTTATGCCACGAATATTGATGAAAGGGGATTAAATGTGGAAATACATTTATAATAGAATGTGCAAAGACTACTAATTTGTTATAAAGATTGACAATAGCTTACAGTATAATACATCACAATAAGGTTTCATTTGTTAACATTAGCTTGCTAAAGTAGCCTATTAAGAAACATGAACCATGATAAAATGTTAATGTATTAGTAAATGCTGAAATTAACCTTAACTGAGATTAATAAAAGCTGTAGAAGTGCAGTTCATTATTGGTTCATGTAAGGTGATACACCAGAATGTGAAATGAGTAAACGTCAGCCCTCCCCTTTAAACGTCAGCGTAACATCCCCTTTAACTCGCTCGTCAACTGCAGTGTTGTCAATACAGGCTGATTTTGGTCGGCGGAATTATTTAAACTAAAGTTACCCCTTTTTAAATTTCTTCCTCCTCATGAACTGGGTGTGACTCTGGTTTATTAGTAAGGGGTTCTATGCCGGTTTGTAGAGAGTCTGGGCTGCAGAATGGTCTGGGTTGTGTTGTTCGTGTCGGTGCTGTGGTGCAGTCTGATGAACACTAGACCAGCTCAAGGATACTTCCACGAGGAGCGCTGGAGCCCGGAGTCTCCCATATTAGCTCCCCGAGTAATGATCGCTCTCATCTGCAGGAACACACAACACTCTCTGCCGTATTTCCTCGGAACTATTGAGCGCCTCAATTACCCAAAAGACCGAATCGCGCTCTGGTAAGTGTGTGAGTGTGTGTAACGGCGCGTTCTGTTTCTGATGTCATGTTAGAATCTTTGAACACGTCATAATGCCCGTCTCTGTGTTGATATCAATTTTGTATCAATATCAATATCAATTTTGATGTCTGTGAACATCCGTCTGCCACCAGCTCAATATGGAGGCTTGAAGGGACAAACTGGAGAGAGGGGAAACAAGATGGGAGGGGTTTCTCCAGACTCCTTCATCCCTACCAAGATTGAATTTATTATCGTAAATGGTGTTAATTACCAAGACGAACGTCTTGACCTTGATTGAATGGGAATACATGTGTTCAACTTCCTATTTGGCTCTGCAGAAACAGGCCAGAGAGAACAATGTAGAACATTAGCTCAGATTTAGAAATGTTATTGATCACTGTATTAAAACATAATTCAATTATTACACGTCTGGAATATTTCTGATTGGTCAAACTCTCCATTTAGAGTTTAAATGTTTTAGAATTATAAACTTATCATTCTAAAACATTTAACCTCTAAAATTAAGAGTTTGACCAATCAGAATTAAGCATTCCAGACGTTATAATTGAATTATTTGGTATGTAACCATGTTTGAGGAATAATAATCAGATGGACAGTGAATAGCTCATTGTATATGGCAAACCGTTTTAGCTTTTATCCATTTCCAGGATATGAATTCTTGATATCAACAATTGTATTTTCAATAGTGAAATGTCACCATAGGCTGCCATTCAAAATGAATTGTTGATATCAAGAATTGATTTTTTACTAGTAGAAATATCATTTTTGATATCAATAATTACATTGTTACTAGTAAAAATGTGAATTCCTGATATCAATTACCAAAAATGTAGTTGTTGATATCTAGAATTCATATCCTGGAAATGAATAAAAGCTAAAACGGCTTGCCATACATTGTGTTGTGCATTATTATACGTGTGTGAGTTTGTTTTAGTGTGTGGGACTATTAAACGTCTCTAAAAGTAGATTAAGCTATTTTCTTAATAATAAAAAGCCTCTTACTGTACCTGCACCATTTATTCCTTTTTATGTATACAGTATGAACAAAAGGCCAGTCTTTACTGTATATTTTCTTTATGTTGTAATTAATTGGTTTCATTCATATGAAAAAACATAATTTAATATGATTGAATTCACTCCCCCAAGCGAAAATAATAGTTTAGATTAAATCGCTTTTAAGGGTAACAGCTGAACTGAAGGGGGAATTTATGTCCATAAACATTGTAGTAATCCATTACAACATTGCATTACTCCCTACAGGAAACTAATTTCATATTCTGAGTTTGCATTTCACTGTTTTCATTCATTTTGAGTAATACTGAATCTATTTTTGTGTGAGTGATGTTCACATTAGACCAAATATACAATAAGCATCATGTTCACACAACATCTCTGCACTTACTCCTGATTTCTCAGAGCTGTCAGTCTATAAAAGAGAAAAAGTAACTTGCACTAGCCTAATATGTGGAAAAAGTAACTCAAATATTTTGTTGTAAATGTAAAAGTAATGTGTTACTTTACTAGTTACTTGAAAAGTAATCTGATTCAATACATGTAACTCACATTACTTGTAATGCGTTACCCTCAAAACTTTACATAAACCTTAATCAGCATTTTTTTTTGTCACCCATATAATCCACCAGGGGGCCTCAAGATGACATTTGTATATTAGCATAATCAAACTCTACATAAAAATGCAAAAAGTGTAATGCAAATGTAAATTAAATGTATTTCTTATGTAATAAAAAAAAAATGTATTTTCTCTCCTCAATAACTGTTGTTTTAATTGAAGAATACACCATTTCTTGAAACTTCCAAAGTCACACATGAATGGTG